ATTATGTTTGTAGTAAGATATGCTTGTGCTTGGCATTCATTTTTTCAAGGTAAATTTTCAATACTTGACTATTAATGGTAGTGTTGTGTTGTGAAAAAGGCTTGTATAATTGTATTCATTCTGTAAATGCAACAAGTTCTTGCTTTTCCCTCCCTTTCCTTCCAATTACTTGTTATCCAAACAAAGGTGTTGCCATGTCTTTCTCTTACTTGTTATCCAAACTGCCTGAGTTTATATTTTGTATAGTAGACAAGTAGTAGACAAGTATGAAGTATGAAAGAAGGCAGTGTTTCTTGAATTGTTGAGATGTATTGTAGTATGTGTTGTACAATATTGATTTCATATGTATATACATGTATATATTGGTTTAGGTTGAAACTTGTCAATGATATAGTGTTGTTGATTTTCTTTTCTACAGAAAATGGCTCAAATTGGTACTTCTTTGAAAAGGAAGAGAAATTGGGACTTTATTCGTTTCATAATTACTATGATTTCTACAGAAAACTTGTCAACTCGAGAAAATTTATGGCAAGGACTATGCTACTGGAAAACCAGCTGAAGGTTTTGCTGATGCAGTCAACAACTTGGAAAAAGTTGCCCCTCCACAAGTTACACTTGATTCAAGTGATGATGAGGATGTTCTAGGTAGTGGTAATGTCACTCAAACTGTTACCTCTCCTCCTTATAAAAAGATCAAGACTGAAAACACTACAAAAAAAAGTAAGAGAGGAAGTGGTGGTGCCGGAAGTTCTAATGAGCTCGCTAGCTTACAAGCATTTATGAAAGACATGAATGTTCATCTTTCCACTATGGCTACTGTGATGGCACGCACTGATGATCGTGAACAACGTGCGGATGAAAGAGAGCAAAAATTAGTTGAAAAGAGTGAACAAGTGCTAGAGGAACTACTCTCTTTTAATCTTGAAGGTGTCACTCCTACCCAAGTTTTTGAAGTGGCTAACATTCTAACCGCACAACCTAACAAGCTCATGATATTTTCAAAGTGTCCGGATGCTTTGAAAGGTGCTTATGTTAAGAGTCTTCTTGGAGGAAGCGGTGATGGTAGTGCCTAAATAAATTTTATGTTATGGTTTTATGTATGGTTTTGTATTAGGAAGGATTATTGGCAAAGACTTTGGTTGAATGTCAATATTATTAGAATACTTTTGGTATGAACTTTTATCTATGAACAAGTACTTTGGTATTATTTTCACCATGAGGTGATAATTTGGATTTGTAATCAATGGAGCATGAAAAATGTTATTTATAGTTTTTTTTTTATAATGTCTTTATAGTTTTTTTTATCATATAATACAGGAATTTAAAAAATGACAATTTCATTCCCTGGCTTGAACCAAACAGTCACAAAGGGAATCAATGAACAGTTCATTCCGTTTCCTGGATGCAACCAAACAACCAGGCTAAATCAGGGTCAACCCATTCCTTTCTCCTGCATTCCCTGGATTCATTCCATTCCGATTCCCCTGCGCGAACCAAACGCCCCCTTAGAGGAAATTTTTTTAATAAGAAGTTGACACATGGCAGTGATAATGTCAGCGGTAATTACTTAAGTATTAATTATCAATAGATATAGCTTTTGCTTAATACATTGGTTTAAGTTTCAAAACAGATGCATTGGCAATTCCTAGGTGACCAGAGTTCAGAGCTCGTCTCACGGACACGCATGGTCTCACGGACACGCATGGTCTCACAAAAGACCTGCTGCCCAAGTTGTGAATTTTAGGTAGCATAGTTCGGGTTAAGTGTGTTAATATGTTATTGAGTCGAATGCAAAAGTAACATTCAATTCAATATCGTAGCAGTCTGAGTCATATGACGGAGTCATATTCTGATTGGATCACATTCAAGTCATCATACACAAAATCAAATCAATACTCAGAGTAGTAACAACAGTTTCTGAATCTGCTCGGGCCTAATTACGGCTTAGGTCTAATACGAGTAATGCAATAACCGATTGTAGTCTAAATTTGGATCATACAATCTGAACCGAGTAATAATCGAGTACGAGTCATTTTTATTGGGTCTACTTTTGGACTTTGATGCTCCATAACTCTGATTACACCTCACCTAATAAGAGTCAAAATCCCCAGAATCAGAGAGAAACAAAAGAACAATTGTGAAACACGAGAAGAGAACAACAACACGAAGCTAGAATTTTTTATATACTTTATTCTTTCTTCTATCTTACCAATCAATCATTCATTCAAATTTATCATTTGCTAATCATAGAAACTCGACAGTTACAAGTGAGTTGAAGAAATTATTAGAGTGAAAGTGGCGGAAGGAAGAGGAGCGCGGCAATGGGGCCTGCGAACCACCATCAGCCACCGTCACCTCCGCCGTAAGCCGACGGTAGCAATGGTTACTAGGCAAGTTTTATATCATCTTATCTTATTCTAAATTGTTTTGCTGTAGTATTCTGAATTTTAGTATTTGATTGAGCAATTCATTTTTAGTGTTGATGAATTTTGTTATCTTTTGATAGAAATGTGTAATGAAGTAGTCTGTTCTTTGCTACAATTTTTGGGGTTGGAATATGATCATTGCATTTGTTATTAGGAATGTGAAATAACCCTTTTTCCTGCAATCCCAAATTGTTATCTTTGTAAGAATGGAAGCAGTTTTCCATTATACACCCAGGTGTATCGTGCACTTAATATTAGCTCAAAGTGTTGTAAATTTGAAATTGTCATTGTTTCTTAGTACAAGACATTTGTGCGCTACATGATATCCCATGTTCAAATTTTCAAGGTGTTATACAAGTATTTCTTTCTAATAGTATACTGGTTCATGAATTGGGAATGTGCATTGTCTCAAATTCTTCTGTATGCTAGGCGAAAAAGGGCTGAGTAGAAGTTGAAGAGGGGACGGTAGGTATTGCCCTGCATTTGGAATCAAATAATGTTGGTGTTGTTTTATTGAGTGACTGTCTGATGATACAAGGGAGAAATTTTGTATAAGCAATCGGTAGAATTGCTCAGATATTCGTGAGTGATGCTTATTTGGGTCGTTTTACAGATACCCATATTGATGGTAAGGGTGAAATAGGAGCTTCTAAATTTTGGTTTATATGATTATATAATCTGTATTGTGTACAAAAAATGAGAAGGGTAAATACTTTAGTGTGTAAGTGAGTGAAAGCTACGATTGCCAAACATATGTGACAGATGTGTGAACCTGAAATCAGAATGGTCTTATGATGATAGTTGTAGTAGTTTTTATTGTGACCTGAAACAATTATAAAAGCTTGTGAATTTTCAGGGAATTGCCTTATTTTTGGGCACAGGAATGCTTGCTAGAAGGAACAATTACCTTATGCATCAGTCTAATAACTGAGAACTTGGAGATGTTGATTAAATGGAATGAAAATGGTATGGGCTGTTTTAAAGGAAAAAAAGGAGGGACCTTGCTGAATATGTGAGGCAAATAATATGTAAGGAAGGGTTCAGGTTACATTAGGGGACCATGGCGCTGACTAATGAGATTCAGGAGAAGATATTTTTATGTATAGAGAGATTTTAGGCACCTGAATTGGAACTCTGTAGCTCATCAAAATTAGTCCTGCTCAAGGGGTTAGCTGGCTCAAAATCAGTCCTCTATAGCTCGTTAAAATCAGTAGTGTCCAAGATATGATATATCAGGTTGATACATGCACTTTTAATTCTTATAGTGTTGCTCCTATTTGATGTTTTTAAATTCTAATTATCAAACAAGAGACAATGTCTTTAAGCTCATGTATTGCTGTTGGGTTAGGGAGGGTCAATGTCTTTCTGAGTTGTCTAAATCATGGCTTACTTTTAGCCCTTTTCCATAATCTAGATGTATCATGGATTTCTCCTGTTCAATGCCACAGGAAGGAAATTGGCCAACTACAGAACTAAGAGACCAAATGAAAAAAGCTGCAGCTAAAGATAGCAAAGTGGAACCGAAAGCAAAAATAAGCTATTTGAGGAGGAAATAACCAAATTATCCACAGCCTACAGAAAAGCATGCACTGGAATTTCCATTTCTGGGCTATCGCAGTACAGATGGCAGTAAAAACGATTAGGGAAACCTTGACACTCTTGCTAAGGCCATTGCAGGGGTATCTGTTGCCAGTCAAAGACTGATAATTACAAGCCTAGTAAAAGAATTAAGAGATGTGAGAAAAATGCTCAGCAAGAAGCTGCAAGAGAGCAGAGAATAAAAGAGGAACAAAGCAACATCATTAGTGATAGAGTGGTTGAGGTTGAGGTTTTTGAGACAGCTAGAGCCGTTTGGATTAACCATTAATGAGGTTAAACCAGATGGCAACTGCCTTTATTGAGCTGTTGAGGATCACCTAGCCTACTTGTTTGGAGGGTCTTCAAGCAGTTTTGAGAGATGGTGACTTCTTATATGCATGCGTGAGCATAACTCAGAATTTCTCCTCTTTCTCTTGTCAAAGGGGACATGGTTGAAGAAGAGTCAAATGATTCTCTGGTGCAGAGATTGAGAATTGCTGCATAGAGGTGAAATCAACAACAGCTTGGGGTGGGCAATTGGAGCTTGGCACTTTGACACATTGCTTGAAGAAACATATAATGAATTTACAGGGTCTTTCCCTGATGTTGAAGTGGGTAAGGAGTACAAGACTGATGATGCTTTCGTGTCATTAAATTCTAGCATCATGCTATCACATGATTCACACCACAGGCGCGCCTTCCGTCTGGGTGAGCACTACAATTCTGTGGTTCCAAATACTGTGAAATAGGTTAGCTATTCCTACAATCTTGTGACCTTATTTCTCCTTTTCTTATAGTTTTCTTCATTATCATATTTTTGGGGGTTATTATCAGTGAGTTAGGAGTGTGCATTGAACTTTATAGATGAATTCAAAGAGTATTTTTTGTTTTTTTTCACTTTCAATGGAAGCATATGCATTCTGCAATTTCTTTTCTTGCGCATATAATATCCTCTGCAGTTGCAAATAGTAATACAGAGATCAACAATTATGCTTGTTTTCTGGTTTTTGGATGGTAATACAACATTGAATCAAGCCGATTTGCTAGACATACCTTGTATACTTTTTTAAATGGAAAATGTGACCATTAGCAGTTTAGCATTTGAGCCATGGTGGTTCCTATAAGTTTCTATGAATTGGTAAATTGGCTAATAATACTAATTTATGCAAAATTGCTTCTTAAATGTCAAGAAAAAAAATCTCTACAAGACTTTAAATTTGCCAGGATTGTAAAATATTTTTAAAAAATGTATATGATAAAAGAAAAATCTCATTTGTTAGCCATATATTTGAGCTAAGAGGTTCAAGTGACTGCTTCTTAATTTTAGATTTGAATGCAAAATGTGAGGGAACCTTTCCTGGTGTTTTCTGAAACAATTTTTCCTATAATAACTAAAATTGTTAAAGTATCCTTCAGAGCTTCTTTATGTATTAAAGACTTAATATATTCCCATAAAATTTTCTATGACACATGGTAAAAAAATGTCCTTACTGATTCCATTTTTCACTCATAACTTGATGGGTATCCCTTTAAAAAAAATTCCTAAGAAAAAAATGTTGATTAAATTCTTAGTTGTCCGAATCGTTCTAGATATGATAGTTAGTCAATTGATAGCAATTAATGTTGATGTTACTGTTAGTCTGTGAAAAACATGTCCTTACAATATACTAAACTGTCCTTAGAAAAAGAAGAGAAAAAAAAAAGTTTTCATTAAGAATCAATTTAGGATCATGACATTAGCTAAGGTTCACTATATTTTTCTTGGGGACATATATTCTTTGCAATTGGCCACTTCTAAAAAGGCAATGCCCCACTATTTTATGGAATTTGTTGGAAAGAAGAGAGAAAAAGATGGTGGGGATTATGCTTTCTTATGTCAGATGTAAAATCCATTTTATGTGATGCGAGGAGCCGAAGTTGCCTTATTCTGCATGCATTACGTCAAATTTGTATATCTTTAGATTTTTGTCTCAATTGAAAAGTAATGTAAATAAGAGCACGAGTCAACTATGAGATTAAGACGACATAAGTTAAAAAAATTTCTATTCGCTTGGTCGATGTTTATATATGAAAAGCAATGTAAATTAGAGCATGAGTCAACTTTGTTGAGAATGAGAACCTACTACCTCTGTTTCTTATTATGTACATCAAAGGGGTATTTATTTGTGAGACATAAAATATTTTTTTGTTGCACATAATAAGAAATGCATGTAGTGTATGTATTTTCTTGTTTAAGCCTTAAATGTTTTGCATTTTACATAACCGAATTTCACATAAAAAGTATACGTTTTCATCAGATGCAAGATGCAACATAGGTTTGCAATCTTCTGTACAATGTAACATTACACGCTAAATTTTATTGAAGAATTTACCAATATGTGACCATGTGTGACCCAAATTTGACATATTTTTTCATCAAAAGTTCATTAATGTCACACTAGTATTTCATATTAAGTATTTAATAACTAACAAGATTGAGTCAACGTGAATATAAACATAACACTTTCACTTGCTCTGTTAGCCTTAATATAATGGTGCGAATCACTGGGGCAACTGTGAAGTTGAGGCACTCACTTTGCTCCATGAGGCACTAAGGTCAGTGCCTCCGTGAGAGGCATGCTATGCATGTCTTTTTCAATTAAGCAGCCAATTCTTAGCTAATGGAACCCAATTGAGGCTGAATGTCCTCTAATAGCACACTTAATTGACAAAGATGTATGTCCTTCAAGGTGCAAGCTTGAATTGTTAATTCTGCACATAGCTGGACAGGCCTCTCGCTGTATAATCCAAATTGATAGAAGAATGTAAAATTATGATAAATCTTGCATTGTATCTCATAAGATTTATAAATGATCAACTACATCCTGGTTCAAAAAATACTAAAGATTAAGATAATGTCATGTTTGATACATTCTCATGTATGTTACTATTTCTCTTTCTATATTGAAGATATCTTAGGAGGATCAATTCCAAATATGATAGGTACGCTAAGTCACAATATGTTCTGTTCACTGCATCTAAATAAGAATGACAAATGCAGAAACAGTACATCTTAGATCAGCTTTCTCTAATCCCATATTTTCCGCGCTCTTAATTTTCTTTTGGCTCTTCGAGTTCAATTGAGTTAAAGTTTTAACGATAAACATCCACGTGTCTGCTAAAAGAAAGAGCTTTGTGCTGCTCGAGTATTTGATTTAGGAGAAGATCAAATGAAAGAGGACTTTCTAGTGGAGTTCTAGAGCGTGGCTCATCATTATTCTGTTAACTCTTTAGGTGTTGCGAAGTCAATTTTCTAGATGCCCTTTGTTTTTTTCTTGTGTCATAGTGAAATTATTCAATAGGACAAATGTCCTTGTTTCTTTACGGAATATGAAGAACATAGACGATGTAAAGGGTCATTTTCGAGTACAATTTGTGGATCAAAAAGAGAAAATAGAAAGTTCTCTTTTTGTTAAAAGTCTTGGAACTTATCCTTTTAACAGTATCAGTTCTTGCATGCAGATATGAGTTGCGTCACCTTAGAAATAGCTTATAAATAGACCTGTGCTCTAAGCATTTTCCTCATCTCAAACCTTGAGTCTCTTCTACAACTAGTGTCATAAAAGCTCTCTGTATTTCAGCTTTTTCATCACCAACTCATCTCCCAAACAAAGGAATTTCCTTCAAAGATAATGGAGGTTGTGAAGGGTTTGGTGCAAGACAGGCCTGTGGTTATTTTCAGTAAGACTAGTTGTCCTGTGAGCCACTCGATGAGACAGCTTATCAGTGGCTTTGGCGCTAATCCTACTGTATATGAAATTGATCAAATGCCTAATGGACGGGAAATTGAGAGAGTTCTGCAGATGATGGGACGCAGACCTAGCGTACCATCCATCTTCATTGGTGGAAACTTTGTAGGTGGACCTAATGATGTGATCACCCTTCAGGTTCAAGGTAGACTGGTACAAATGCTGATGGATGCCGGAGCTATTTGGGTCTGGAATAGAAACTAACTTATCCAGGATCAGCAATTAGAAGTAGAATAAGGGAAGTTTTAGGTTATATTATGGAGAGGACTTAAATAGGAAATAATGCGTCTTCTGCAGTGCCTTGTTTTTCTAAGCACAATTATATTTGGTGACTGAAAATTAGTGTTTTTCAGTGACATAGTCTTATTCTCCTTCTGCCAAAAAAAAAAGAAGAGTAAATCCTCTGAGTAAATGCTTGTCCTTTGTTATTGAGTCAAATACTAGTGAAAGCTGCATTCTCATTTTGACAATGCACTCTTCTGTACCTTATTACCTGTCTTGATTTACTGTAATAAAATGCTAGACTGGGATTCAGTTGCTTATGCTTTGATAAATAATGCTTTACTATCTTTAAATACCAAGTCAGTAAGATTTAAGATTATGTTTTGAACATAGCACAAAAGTATACACTGGCATGACTTAAACGAATTAATTTTACATGCAAACATCACACTATTAAATCAACCTAAGTACAGCCGATAGATTTCTGGACAAAAGAAGTTCATGTATATGCCTCTATATGCAATCTATCCAATGCTTTTATATTGTAGTATGATAATTCAGTGTTTCTCAGAACTAATTTGAATTTCCTGAATAAACTACAAATGTAGTGCTTAATTCTATGCCTACATTTTCTCTAGTTGTGCTTGCTTATTACAGTTATTAGCTCTGTATGTGGGCATGTGGCAGCTCTTAGTCGCAGCCTTCATTTAAACTAAGGATCAATTTTTGCTCGTACACTTTGTTTTGATGCCTCCTTAAAAGGATATGTGATAGATTGGATGATCTTGAAGATTAATGATGTAAACCAGGCTTGCAGCTCCTGAAAACCTGCATTGATCTTTCAGAGGAAAAATCAATACACATCATGGGCCATTTTTATTTTATATAATACTCTTGTAAGCCTTTCTGCTATTTTTGTCTGCAATTTATTTTGAAAACCTACATTGATCTTTCTAAGTGTGTGTACACATTACATATCTGCTCAGAAAACAGGGCGCACAGCTGAAGATTTCTTATGTTAACTGTGCAATTACTTTTCTTATTTGGAAGGGTTATATATCTTTATATGATCCTTTCTGTACTATACTTTCTTATACGTGAATGTATTTTGATCAAGTTACCTACACCGTACCAACTCATTCTTAAAGAAAGTGCATAAATAGTGAGCCTATTACTGTTATAAATGAAACAGGAAAACAAGTTACTAATACTTGTAAGAAACAAAGGGCGATTAAAGTACTGATCTCTGTCATCTCATCATTTTTAAGAAGCCAAGTATTATAGTTACTACAATGTCAAAGATCATAGCTTAAAGTCCAAAATCAATCTGCCACTAGTAATAATAAAAATTGAGTGTCATTTTATTCATTAAATTGATACTTAACTGCTCTCTGACAGCAATAATTGACAGTAAATCTGATTTACAACAACCAAGATGAAAGAGAACTAATCTAAAAATCGACTTGTGCTCCACACAAGATTATAGTCATGAGTTGTCATTGTTTGTAAGTGGGCATATATTATTCTGATCATTCAGTGGCTACAGAAGTATATATTGTACATGTAATGGGTGAAGTTGACACCTCCTTGTTTTTTATAAACCATAAAAAACAGAAATTATAGTTAGTGTCTGATGTCTGCTGGTTCTGTGATAAGGAAAGAATAGAAGAACCTTTAAAGCAATTTATAAAATTGTGCTTGATTTTACTTTCTTTGAGGTTCGATGCCAATACGTGGATACGATTTTGATGGCCTAAAAACATAATCTGTATGGCGATGTCTCAGCCTCTTGAAGATCCTAGAATTAATCAAGTTCAGGTGCTATCCTAACTGCAAATGTTTGTATTTTGTCCACTGCAGATTTTTCTGATGATCTTTTCTGAAGTATATATATCACCTTCCTGTAACACTCTACATGTTATTCCTTTAGACAGTAAAATTTCAGCTGCTATAACAATGAAAAGCTATTCTGAAATGTGATGTTAATTTTCTGTAATAATATGAGTAAATACTATACTCACAACAGTAAAAAAACAAGCAAGGAGACATTCCTTGTCAGAACTAATTTTCTGCTACATAAGCTATCACAAACATTTAATTCTACTGATATCATCTTATTATCGAGTTTATCTTGCCTTTCGCATTTTGCTTCTGTAAAGGGGATGAGAATCTCAATGTGTGATGCAAGGATAACTCTTGCAAACCTTTTCTCATTCACAAAGATGCTCTGTGATAGGTACAGAAGCAAGCCCTTACAACGAAAGTACACACTTCCAGAAACCTAAACTATGCTCTCCCTCCCCTAAAAAAGCAAGGCATGGCTACATTGGGCTTTCTAACCATCCAAGTTGGGCTAAGGCTTGAAACGGTCCCAAAAAAGAAGTAAAGAAGGGCCCAATGGCGCACACTATGATTCTCTCTCTCTTTTTTTTTTTTTTTTTTTTTTTTTTTATTTTTTTTATTTTGTATTGCTCATGCCTTGAAACTTTTACGATCTTCTGCTTTGCAAATATTTCTATCAATCATTAAATGGATTAGAAATGTAATACATGTTACTATAATATTAGCCTCAGCAGTACTGCAGAAGAAATAAAATTGTTGCTTTAGACTGGAAATCAACCGAAAATCCGATCTTTTCCAAACTGATGAATGGAGGACAAGTCAGTTAAGATATTATTGCTGAAAATTTTCCATGTATGGCCTTTAACCCGTTTTTCTTGCATATTTGCATACTTGCTACACACCCTTCTGACAGAAAGGTTTCAATGAGATGAGATAATTAGCAATGAATTTCTCAAAAAAAAAAACATAAAAATGTGAAGGGTCACCTATAATGTGTACAAAGTCACCCATTATGTCTCATGGCATCCGATTTTTGAGACCGTGTAATACAAGTGTATTGCATCATCCAAATTAAAATTCTTAACAGCAGAAATGTAAAAGTAGCTGTTTTCATCCCCTAGGTAATCTTGCCTACCTCTTGCTTGAGGCTAAAGCTTATGGAGTTGTTTTTAAACTGTGCTTCATTTAAACATGTCCATAGTCAACTTGAAGTATTATTTTTTTTTCTTCTCAAATGTTAAGCAAGATCCGAGATTAGGTTGTTTTCCTGAGTCATATCCATGCCATCTACATGATTAGTCATTGCTAACAAAGAAAGGGAAATGTGCAAATGCAAACTTTAATGTCATTCTTTTGGAATTATGCCCTCATGCTCAGTCGATGACAAAAGGCTTCATGCCTAGGCACATAAGTTCATCTAGTACACAGCTTAGTGAACTTTCATCCCGTTCATTGTATGAATTTCTCATGATGGAAATATAAGAGTGAAAACAAAATAGGAGTGGTGTGTAATTCTGGTAATCAGCTCTAACGCTTCTGTAGTTACTTGGTGAAACAGCAATTTATCAGCCATGGTGCAAATCCTGTGATATAAATGTAAATATTTTCAAGGTAACTTTAAAAGCAATATTCTTCTGTCAGGAAATGGAGGAAGCCACTGAAGACAGTTTTGGCCTTAGCACAGCTGGCTTGTTGGGGCAACTGATATTCCACGATTTTGCATTTAGCAAAATGAAGGTATAATATGATAAAGCCCTTCTTTTTGATTCAAAGGATAAGATATTGCTGCTCGAAAAGGTTTGTAACTCTGTTCTTCTAGGATAAGAAAGCTGTACATTCCTTTTTCCAGTCAGCATATACACAATATGAGGCGAAGAGAGAAAGTGTTCTAGCTCCGTAATCATTTTAATCTTTATCTCAGCTCCACGCAAGAATATTGGAATATAGATTGCAACTTTAAAGATGATCTCTACTGTAAGATATGAGGAGTAAATCTTGCTATAAGTTATATGACCTGGCTTCTTAACTTGGCATCTGCATCCGTACTTCTTATTTGTACAACCTTTCATATTCATATATTCCTAAATGCACATCTTTGAAACCTTATCTGTTTTTATATTTTAATTTTTTTTTTTAAGTTAGTAAAAGCAGGTGGTTGTCTTCTTCTGATCAACTTATCAAGTTCGAATCTAGTATTGACCCTTCGCTTCTTGTAGAGCCATTTATTCAAGTAACTCGAGCACTCTTGAAATTACTGGTGCCTCTTAGCATTTTGCCCTTCACCAAGAATCTGCACATACCCATCACAAAATACCTTTGGTCACTTCATTAAGTTGCAGGATAATTCTGCTGTGGCTAATCAAGCACCATGTTATCTACTTTCTCATCTGTAGAGTGACAATTTTTGCCAACTGAATCATAAATATCCAATACTGAGCTGAATCAAGGCACTGGCTCTCCTAATCAATAAGAATTGATGATACGGGCAGTCTTTCTGACACTAGGCATAAGTATATTGGACTAGCAGCTCAATTACATCCTTGCCTTTGTCTCAGGGTTTTACTGGTGCAGATTATACACTTAAGACATGATCTATCTGATTGTCACAGGAAAAATAATTAGGTACAATAACAGAATCACAAAAAGCTCCTTTGCCTTCATAGTTGAAGAATAATTACATATCCCTCGCATTTTCAGTAAAATGACAATAAGATACAGCCCTCTTTGTTGTGGGCTATATAAATACATAACCAAGGTTGGCTTAGTAACAATAAGGGAAACAGAGGTTTCTTCATCCTAATCATCGTTCTTATGGATACCTTAAGGCCGTTGGTGGATGAAAAACCGGTGGTTATTTTCAGCAGGAATAATTCTGATCCTGTGAGCCATTCCATGAAGCAGCTCTTTACTAGCTACGGTGCAAATCCTGTAGTTTATGAGCTGAATCAATTACCGAATAGACAAGAAGTTGAAAATGCCCTTGATCAGGTGGCGGTGCAGACCCCAAGTGTGCCAGCTATCTTCATTGGAGGGAACTTCATTGGTGGGGCAAATGATGTTATTGGCCTTCAAGTTCGTGGAGAACTAGTGCAAAAGCTGATTGATGCACGAGCCATATGGTTTTGGAACAGAAACCAGTAGTTAATAATATCAATAGTCTACTGTAACTCTGATAATTGTGAGAGTAGTTTTTGTTTATTTTAGCTGTATTAAGATGAGGCTAAAAGTGTTTAATGCCGCGCCTTCACTCCTGCAGAATACAGTAGTTATGTGTGCTAGTTAACATATGCCAGAAGTCGTTGCTTGAACATTTGATCTTCATAATTGAATAAAGCGTCTTTCTAGTTACTATGATTTTTTCTTGTGTTCTTTTAACATATATGAACTATTTTTTAGGCAGTAACAAATGAGAGAATTGTTGGCTGAACAACAATTTTAATTGTCATAAACAAAAACTTGAGCCTTGTTGGACCGGAAAATCTGGAACACGTAGAGGAAAAAGCGATGCATTGTGCCATTGTGCATGTCATACCACATACGTAGTATATGATAAAATCAATCCATTCATATCACAAGGTTCCATAAGTTAACTTGTAGGGGTTGAAAAGTGGTGTTTGTTGTGAATGAGGCCAGACTAGTGTTTTTGTTCTGACAATAATAGATATACTGTACCACATATGAAAATATATCAGCTATTTAAGAGCATAGAATTAAGAAATGTTAAAGTTTACTAGTTTGAGTTCTTGTTATGTTTGAGCCTCAAAATTGTTCAGTTGTTTGTATTGTAAGGAAGCAAAAAGAAGCAGGACTTAAACTAAGCAAAAGAATTTGAGAGAACACTTGTTTAAGCATGGACTACGTACTGGTAAACATGCTTATGATCATCATCCCTAATTACCTGTCCTATTGCTAAGAAAGTTCTACTTTGGCAAAGTATTATAGGCTTGACATTAATTAGTATGACTGTATGAGTATAAACGTAATTGTGTGGTTAGATAATTCCTCAAATATAGGAAACAAATGTTTGGTTGCCATTTTAAGAATATAGTTAAAATTGATTTGATCATCATCAGAATCAAACAATTTCATACCCTTACACTGTACTACATTACTGCACGTCACTGTGTAAAAATATTCTTCCTTATTTTAGAGAGTTTGATGCTACAGCCTGTATCATGCAGTCATGCTATACTAGAAGCCAACCTTAGCTTGCAAATCTCTAGCTAGGCCAAATCTGAAGTTGACATTCCTTCCGTACTGACTTGTACATTCTCGTGTCAGCATTTATTCCTCTGTATGTTATGTGCATAATACTGACAATTGTCTGTTTAGATAAAGCAGCTAAAAAAGTTCATTACAAGCAGACAACCTCGGCGTACTGTAGAATTGGCTTAAAAACCTTTTTGGCTCTTCACTACACCTAGAGGCTAGAGCTGTTGATTCTAGATAAAATTCCTCCATGTGCTTGGCAGTGGTTGCAGCATGGACTTATATTCTGCTTTTACTTTTTCACATTAGTTATAGATATGTCTGGCCACATTTGAGCAGCATATTAGATTGATGCACATAACCCAAAATCTAGTGATATCGAAATAACATTTAGCTGCTAGTTCAGTTTCAGTACATGCTAATTATTTCTGATTTGATCAATAGTCCTTGCTAGTAATCAAATAGTTAGGTTTACCTGTGAAAAATATTATGCTGAAGGACACAAACCAGAATCTGATACAATGATTTACTTTTAAGTGCTATGACTAGTTAGAAAACATAATCATAATTTTTAGCTGATATGATGAAATTATACATGGTTCTAATATCAATATGTATGCACTATGCTTAAAAACCATAGATTTTCGCTTCTGCATGCAATTTCATCATTTCATGCAATAACAGGTCAGGCCGTCAGGGAGGAGGGACTAGGCAGAACGACTTATAGAAGATCAATAATAGAATTATCATGTTACTGCTATAATTTTATTTTTCTGGCAGTGCCAGGGAACATCATAGTAATACCCGTTCAGTCAGTATTTGCATTCTGCACCAGCCAATAGTGCTGCAGCCAGCAGCTACTGCTTCATATCTTCTGTCACCTAAAATACAGTGTATTTTGGTTTGTAACAAAGAACAAAATATTGTTAAATCTTTACAGGTTTAGGTAATCTGGATTTTACTTCTTCCTTAAATAAAGGATGGGGTGATCCTAGAAAGTAAAAGTGCACTGAAGAAAAAGGTAAACTTTTTATCAAATAATGAAATTACATCTCATTTTCTGTTTCTTCATCCTGTTGGGGCTATTGATCAGAAGGATCAGAAGGCTAACTTTTCATCGAGTGCAAAAAACAGCATCTTTTAGTCAAGGCATTAAACAAGTATTTCATAATAACTCATTGGATTGTCTGAGAATAGAGTCTTAATACATCATTACTAATCAAATCTAAATCTTCCACACCACCAAGTCTTCTTGTAAGGAAAAATGATGACATACAAAAGGAATATTGACTAATGATAACTATAGCATATCAAAGACACAAAATCTATGTCTAGTTGCCACATTCACTGCATGAATCTGATCCAAAGAACATTTAAAAACGCGGTATTTTTCCTTCTTCTGAAGACCTCTAAAGTAAAGGATAAAAAGGTGGAATCTCAGTTAAAAACTTTTAGGATAAAGAGTCGTGGTTTTCTTTCCCACATAGAAGTTTATGAGAAATACGCGACTCAAAACTGATATTCCAGCTGTACTTCACGTACATATGATTTTTATTCCTCTGACACAGTCATGTCCTTGGACTCCTTAGTCCTTACCCTCTTAGTTCTTTGATAGGGGGGTAAAACAGGCATTGAACTCCCTTCATACAATGGCTGTTCAGATGCATTCAACAAATCACGAAACTGTTTTGATGGTGTGTTAGGCTCCTCCTCTGAAGCTTTGGTAACCAATTGATCTTGGTTATGATCACCAAGAGCATCCACAACCATTTCACGATATTCATAGGATTTCCTTTTAGATGTAGTAGGAAACCCTTCCCCTTGGCACATCCATTAATAATAATTAGGAACGAATCCTTTGCCATACAAATGAATTCTAACCATGTCCTGATGATGAAGACGTTTGTTCTTGCTTTTAGCACAAGGACACCTAACTTCATTCGGGTTACTGCTCTCAGGATGATCTTTGCAATATTGCATGAATTCCTCTACCCCTTTCAAGAACTCGGGCTTAAGAGAATACCCATCTTTTCTGTCATACATCCAGCTACGCTCTCTTTGTTTCATGATTACAACTTCTACACAAGTCACGCATATAACCACATTAGTCACAAACACTATTATAAAAGTCTTCTATCTTTTGTTTAATAGAATTGCAATGAGATTTTTAATGATGCCCAAGGGTCCTTATCACTCCAACCAAACCCATTATTGAACGTCTAATCTGATCTCACTAATGAATGTATGACGGGTTTTTAATTCTATGGAAAATTTGGCAGCATTTCCTTACAGTTTCCCACGTGCACGATATAAGCAATTCAAAACACCTACATATGTACCCAGCGAAAATTGTAGAGAAATGACAAGCATGATGTTCCTTAAAACAAAAAAACAAGGCATACATTCACCACCTAAGTGAAATTAAACGTTCAAGACATACTCCTAATGTGTATGTCTTAAACGGGTATCTAGGCATATGATTATGCAAATGATTGACTTCAAACATTTAAACGTCCTTCGTTCCCAAGGAATTATGTGTTTCTTACACAAAGTAACCACACAATTAACATACAAAAAGATGAAAATGAAACATAATTTCATGAAATTAATTTGATTTAAATAACATAGTAACATATAATACAACAAACATGTATAAACTAAACTAACAAATACTTCCTTCGTTCTTTTTTACATGACCCGTTTTGACTTTTACATTATTTACCACTTCTCCTTTGACCGTCTTTTGTATAAATATGTAAGAAAAACATATCCATGTGAGATTTTTTTGAATTCGTCTCAATAAGTACTATTATAATATATAACTTTTATAATTTTTACTTATGAAGAATTAAAGTAATTAATCGTTAAAGTTTTGCATTGACAAGCGTGATAAAAGATATAGATCAAATAAAAAAGAACAGAGGAAGTATATAGATTAATATGTACTTCGTATAAAGTTTTACATATATATACACACACACATTATACTTTGTATATTGTTTTACAAAGCATATATCCATTATGTCACTTATTTTTTTGCCCTATTTGACTTTTCACGATATCAAAAACGAGTGTTCAAACGTATATATTCTATTGTTTACAAATAAAAAATTGATCCAAATGGCTGTTGGTGTAGTGGTAATTTGGACTACATTTGGTAGGAGGACTCGTGTTCGATTACCCCGCAACAACAATTGGGAAGGGAGTGAAACCTAACCACCCAGAACTGATCTCGAATCCCGGATTAGCCCAAAGGGTGAGCCGGTGAAACACCAAAAAAAAATAAAAAAAATTGATATTAATGTAATATACAAATGATTCTAACAAGATATCACATTTATATATTATCACAATGGGGCAAAAAATTAACAAGGGAGTATATTACGAAATAAACTCATACACTTTATTAAAAACAAATAATTAAATTAAAAATTTAGTTAAAAATTAGGGTTTGTAATGTTATTAACCTTTGAATCTTTTGTTCTTTTTGACAATTAAACTATTTCACTCTACAAATAATTACATTTAACAACCCCCTTAAATAATTTAATTAAAAAATTAGGGTATGTAATTGAATAAATTGAAATTACATTGAAGCGGGGAGAACCAACTTACTGAGTGTGGATGGTGGCAGACTGGCAACGTTGGTGGAGGAGGCGTCGGTGGTGGCTGTCGAAAACCCTAATTTTTTTTAAGTTTTCTCTCTTTTCTGTTTCCCGGATTTGAAACTGATGAAGGCTCACCGCCTGTCTTTTAATATTGACGACTTTTCCGACGGAATTCCCGATGTCAAATTCCGTCGGAAATTTGTTCAAACTTTAATTTAATATTGAAAGAATCGTCCGATGGACTTAATCCGTCAGAAATTTTCGACGGAAAATCCATCAGATCAGAAATCATCCGTTGCAAATATCCCTAATTTTTGTAGTTATAAAAGACTAAACGTCACAGGAGGTCGACAACATAAGTGAGTAAGTGACCGTTGGCACCTCCTAGAGCTATCTTGTATCAAGACTTCTGCTCATCAAAAGAATCTGGTGTTTGAAAGGTAGAACATAACCTTTCAATTACGAATAAACTGAAAGGAATCATTAAAAATGCCAATTATTTCAGATATCAATCCTAAGGTTATTTTCTTAACCACTTATATGAATCATTTTTTATATGATCATGCAAAATCAAAACAATTTAATGTATAGCATATGCTCAAAACTTCAGATAAAGGAAAATTTGTAGCACCTTCTTGCTGTGACACATTTTTACTTGGCTCTCAGTGACTGAATGTGACTTATCTATGAGAGCTAGTACTCGTAGTTATCTGTGGTAATTACATAATCAAAAGAGATTTCTATATGTTTGAGGCTAATACAATTAATCTAATACACAAGTAGCAGCGCGTCATCCTGAAGGCAGAGGCAGGACAAAGTACGATACCAGGAGAACCTAATCTGACACATTGATGTGGTGGGAAGAATCATCCCTGCATCCCTTTTTTGCCTTTTCTTCCACAGAGCCACTGCCACACCATCCCCCTTTGTGCCTTTTTCTGCATGATCCAGAATGTCACAATGATCGAACAAACCCGAGTTGACATTCTATTCACACTAGTACCATACAAGCTCAACATTCTTCTTAGTCTTATGAAATTGTTTATGATGTTAACAAGTTATAGCATTTGCTAAAAAGAAATAATTTTACTCTATGCTGTATTGTAGTTTGTCCTGCAATCAAACAGTAAATGTTATCTTTCAGTATGTCCTTAAATTAGACAATAAAAATGATGAACAGCCTTACTTAATTACCTTAGTCATCTTTGTACATGTGTTATTTAACTATATTATGTAATCACCACAAAATGAGTAAATGATGATAATATTCCTTATACACACTGAAGTTAGAACTCTGAAGTCAATAGCAGAGTTCTAAATGCTTACTAATGCCGCTGTTTATAAGAATCTCATGTAAGAGCAGGAATCATGCACCATCTTAATCCCATAATTGTTGCTCATCGAGATTAATGTAAGAAACCTCTTAGGTGTCATGAAATGTGTAAAAGTTCAAAATAAATTGAATTTAGACACTTGATGTACTGTAAATAAAACTAGCATTGGTTCCAAAGATATAATATTCTGAGCATCATGGAGCCTGTACCATATTCCAGGTGATACCTTGCTTTGAGCATAAGTAGTCTCTTTGAGTGCTTCAAAGCACAAATTAAATACTACTCATTATTTGATCATAATGTATGCAGTTCTATCTAGATTCCCTTTCTTAATGTCCACAGATCACTGATCAGCTCTCTAAACCTCGAGACAACATATCGACAGAATTTCAAGCCTAAAAGAGGATATATTGTGGAATAAACTGATTATTATGGAGCATCATTCCTTACACTACTTTTAAATAAAATAATAGAGAAGCACTGTCAATCACTGATCTACTCATACTATAAATAGATGGCATATGATGACTCAAATTATTTACATCGATGGCAAGAAAATCCATAACCAAAACTCAGCTGCAGTAACACATTTGATCCTGGTCTGTCTGCTTCATTCGAATTTCCGAGCAATTGGAAGCAGCTCCGGCACCCGTTGATTTTGCACCTTCTAACATAACAGAGTCGATCATTCTCCTAACGCTTTTTCATTCACGGTTTTATGTTCGTCATTCTTTGTCGATTCTTCCCCTCTTATATCTTATATCAGAAAGAGCTATACAGCTCGGAAGAAAAGGAAAAAATCAGTACCTCCCAAAAAAAGTCAGATAACTAGCTAGTAATGGATACCGTGAACAGATTAGTGGAGCAAAAGCCTTTAGTAATCTTCAGCAGAAGTTCATGCTGCATAAGCCACTCAGTGATTAAACTGATCAGTGGCTATGGAGCAAATGCAACAATTTATCAACTAGATGACATTTCCAATGGGCAAGAAATAGATAGACCGCTACAAAGGCTAGGACTAAGGCCGAGTATTCCTGCAGTTTTCATAGGCCAAAAATTAGTTGGTGGTGCTAATGAGATTATTAGCCTGCAGGTTCAAGGAAGACTCGTGCCAATGTTGAAAGAGGCCGGAGCTCTATGGGTTTAGAATAAAAATTAAATGAAATCTCACAAGAAAAGTATCATGCTATAAATTTGAGTTTTGTAATTTAGGAGGATATAAAATTTTCTTCTTATTCCTTCCATCTGCATTTTTGTTAGTAGGACGGAAGGATATATAACAGTATACTTTTTGTAGTTTTGTTTGTAAATAGATATTTATGTTAATTATTGAATATTCATTAAAAGTTATGATTAATTTTGTATGTATGAAATATTAGAAGTATATCGATAATAAAACTCTATACAACAATTTTATCTTAAAAAAGTTATCTAAAATAAGCTTACATAGGATCATCACAATAATACCTATTTGTCGCCTACGTAGTGCAACACTTGGCGAAAAACGGAATGCCAAGCATCGATGTTTTGTACCGGCTTTATTTATTAGTGATATGATATGGGTAAATAGGTCACTATGTTTTTTTTATCAACTAAAAAAAAGAGTTACGAATGATGCACGCACCTGTCCTGAAGAATGGGTTGACTTTTATATGAGATAGAGATGGCAAATATAGATTGTAGTTCTCTGGCAAGGGCCAAGGACTGGAGTTTGTCCATCTTGATCACCCGATTTAACCCAACCTCAGCCACATTTACCTCCCCATCTCCAAAAACTTGCTCAAGCTGAGCACATTTTTGTATGAACATGCTCTCCAACTTTGGAAGGCGCTCCCCAACAAAAAAGGATATTGGCAAAAAGCTCTCCAATTTGTCACAAGATTGTATGTGAATCTCTTTGATTTCAAGAAAGCTCATCTGTTCAAATGGATCATGTGCTTGATAATAGTTTCTAGTTTCAAGACATTGTAACTTTTCCAAACTTGGAACAGTAATTGAAGCTCAATCTCAATCTCTTCCTCAATGAGCTCTTGCTTTCCCTACAATAATTGAAGGCCAAACTTTAGATCATAGCATAATATTATTTTTTTCCTTGTTTTTACTTTTTATATATAAAAATCAAAATCCATTCAAATTTAGCAATAATAGAATTAGAAGCATAAAGAAAACCTAGGCCTAGCCCTTGACCACCATACTCCATAGTAGATAGTAATTTTAGCGAATTGAAAATCTGTGCTTGCTCATACCAGCTGGTCGGGCAACTTCCAAATACTCTTGAGCTTCTTCAGGCATTTTTAAATCCATGGGAGGTCATGTTTTGCATGCTGAAATGCTTGTATTGGTGACAATAGTTTTCAAGGGCTGACAGCCCTTCGAGTTCTCGATTTGACAGCAGCAAAGAAGCGTCTTAAGATGGTGTTACCAGCTTCGCTAATATGTCTCCAAAATCTCCGAACGTTACTTCTTAGAAGATGGAAACTAAAAGTTGATATATCCATGATTGGGAGTTTCTTAGTTTCTCTGCCTGTCTTTTTAGAGAATTGCCTATAGAATTAGCAGAGCTTTCTCAGCTCAGTTATTTAGATTTATCTGGCTGTAGAAACCTGACAGCCTCCTGCTATACTGAAATACAAGGTAAACTACCAAATATCAAAAAAGTTACTACGCCAAATGAGCCACCAACAAAGCTAGCTTTTGATGATAAAAATGAAGATGAAGATGATGATGACGATGACGAAGATGATGATGAATAATATGATTATGCATGCATTTTCATGGTTGCTTAATTAATTTATTTAGCATGTACTTCAAGTTCAAACATGCTAATGTGATGCAAATCAAGTTTGTATTTTTCAAAATTTATAATTTATAAAAATTTACGTGTGCAGAACTAGACCGAAATCTTAATATTTCATAGACCGGAGACCGGAACAGAATTAACTGGCCCAGGCCAGTTTTTGATCGATTAGACCGGTTGAAATTTTGCTTCTTAGTTTTTGAAGCTATAAATTCAAGGAATTCAGAAAAGCTGTTTAGCAAAACCTTGAAGAAGAGGAGACTTTCCTTATCGAAGGAGGTAGGAAAGGTACGCCCTAATCCCATTTCTGGTAGGAAATGGTAAGGGTGGATAGCAACATTAACCACATTAGCTACATTAAGAAGGAACGCGACCCCCCAACCCCACGAGGGAGAAGTTTACAAAGGATCTATTTAGTAGACTTCATTTCAAAAATACAAAAGATTCAAGTATTTTAGAAATCGCATAAGTGACCATTGAACCATTTCAAGGCTGCCTAATCAGTAGGAACATTCACAACAACAGGTCATAGACTTATAAGTGTGAATGAATAACTTGGAATGACAAGACGGCAATGGTTGTGTAGTCGGTGATTTACCGGCCCTTTCAGAACCAATTCACGAATCAACTAAAAGCCCCTCCGAGAACCGCTACCTATTGCAAAGCGGGGGCTTTAGCTAGGGATTGGGGTAATTCTCTGGCTACACGTGAAAGGATTCTTTTGACGTATGTTGCCCTCCTTGGACATCTGAGAAGGTATACTACCTTACGTAGCAGGACGCGAGGCAAGGCTTATCTGCTTGGGATAGACAGCTTTTTACCCTTGCGCCCTGTGAAAAGGTTGGTGCCCGGAAAAATACAAGTGTGTAAACGCGTTGCTCCGAGGTGAGTAAAAGGTCCAACTTGTTGTAACCAGAGGAATTGCAAAATTAGCTCTCGGTTACCGGACAGAAGCCGTAAAACCTAGCTCTAAACGCCAAAGCCCCAAAAGGGCCCTTGCGAGCCTAATCACGTTTCTACTTCCTCCGTTTCTTTTCAGTTGACACATTTCTTTAATCACGTTTGCCGATACACAAATTCAACCATTAATATCTTTAATTACCGATAAGCAAAAATAATGAAAAGTTGATATTATGAAAATATCTATTGTGATGAATCTAACAAAAACTCACATGACTATATTTTTCATTACGTATAAAGCACAAAACACGATCAAAGGGGAGTGTGTGAATATGCTAAATTCAAAACGTGTCAATTAATAAGAAATGTAAATAGTATAATATTTACATCGTCATATACAATTTTTTTTATTAACTCATGTAAGTGCTAAAAATGAAGAATATAGTTTTCTTTATTATATTATGTAAGTGCTAAAAATCAAGAAATATTGTTAAATCAATGAGAAAAGGCAAAGACCTAACTTCAAATGCAAATATTTCTCTAACATACCGTACAAATTATCTTGAAGTGATTCAAGATGAAGATGAGAATGTTAGGATTGGTCAATGAAAAAAAAAATCCAAGATAAATATTTGACAAGCTTGCCCAAGCATTTTTTCATTTCAAATTTCAATTTATACAACTTGATCATAATTTACAAACTAGTAACTTTTGTCTTGTGGCGTGTGAATGTGATCTACCGACTTGAACAATTGTTTTAGTTTTGGCCTCCAAACTTTATGACTTTTGTTAGCCACTTGCTTGTAAAATAATGAACTCCCTTAAGTAAAACAAAAAAAATGACAAAAGTAGTTCCATCCTAAAAGCAGAAAAACAACATACCATTCCCAATTTAACTTTCCGAAGATTTACACCACCTGGCCGAAATTAATGGCAGATTGTCTCCTTTTCAATTATTATTAGAACAAAATCAAATCTTTCCTAAATTCCAAGTACAAGTATCATTAAATTCAATCCCAAAAACATGGGTTGTCAAATTTTGCAACTAATTATTGTAACTGTAACTCTGTTAATCTCTGCTTCTTATGCTACTGAATACATTCGGCCTAAACCTCGTCAACTTCTTCACTTTCCATGGAGTCGTCGCAGCTCCACCGAACCCCAACAGGTCTTTTCCCATTTATTTATTTTTTTTTATATAAAATTTCATTAATTGGTTAATTGATTGCTATAATATTTGGGTAATTGGGTTTTATTTTTGACATTTTTTGGATGGTTCTTGTATTTATCTTCAATTACTTTTTTCTTGCTTGCTGATGATAAATCAATCCTGTTTGTTGGAGGTGATCTTGGTATTATATGGAGGAAAGGGCCTAAATTTTATTTGGGTTTAGCCGTGATTTGATTTTAGGTCTTGGTACCACGGATTTTACTGTACCACTCTAGACCTTAATCAACTAAGATAGTTGATGTCTATAGCAAAGGACCTTCATGAGTAGTTTAGATAACATAGTCGACTAAGTTTGATTAATGTTTGTTTGGTTGGAAGTAAATTGGTTATGCAATATAAATGAAACCCTTAAAAATTGTAAGGAAAAGTAACATTTGTGTGGTTGTAAGAAAATGTATGTTGTTGTTGGGATAAAATTAGTGACATTTCATTGCTAAAGCATAAGTGGCACAAACTCAACAATCAGGATTTTACATTGCTACACTTAGAGATTTGCATTGTAAATGGTGAAATGTGGATTCTTGCTGTCTTTTCAGTCTCAAAGGCGCTGTTTTTTCTTGTTTGTCAAGGTTTTGTCTTTGTGTGACTGCATAAATTTGTTGTTTGATTGAGGTAGTGCTTGCATTTGTATCTTGCATTTAGTGAAACTTTGCTGTCGATTGAGCCTGTTCTTCCTTTACCTTTGTCAAGAGGTTTTTGTTTAATGCGAGTTAAACTCCATGTTGCCTGAGACACCCATCAACAATGGTGCAATGCAAGTTAACAGGTCAAAGGAAAAGCAGATAAAGCAGGAATTTAAGGCAATTTTAATATGAAGTACATTTTTAGTGTTTAGAGGTCTTATAAACATTAATTTTGTTTTCAGGTACATATTTCATTGGCAGGAGACAATCATATGCGAATTTCATGGGTTACGGATGATTCATCTGCTCCATCTATAGTTGAATATGGAACATCACCAGGACAATACTCTGCAAAAGCTGAGGGGGAGAGCACCTCCTACTCTTATATGCTATACAAATCAGGAAAGATACATTACACTGTTATTGGGCCACTGAACCCTGACACTGCATACTTCTATCGTTGTGGAGGGGAAGGTCCAGAGTTCCAGCTGAAAACTCCTCCAGCTCAACTACCGATTACTTTTGCTATTGCTGGTGATTTAGGTCAAACGGGCTGGACAAAATCAACGTTGGACCACATAGATCTATGCAAGTATGATATGCATTTGCTTCCAGGAGATCTTTCCTATGCTAATTACATGCAACATAGGTGGGACACATTTGGTGAACTAGTGCAACCACTAGCTAGTAGAAGGCCTTGGATGGTTACAGAAGGAAACCATGAAAAAGAAAACATCCCTTTGGTGAAAGAAGGATTCCAATCATACAATGCACGATGGAAAATGCCATTTGAGGAGAGTGGTTCAAGTTCCAATCTTTATTATTCTTTTGAAGTCGCAGAGGTGCATGTTATCATGCTCGGCTCATATACAGATTATGATGAATACTCTGAACAATTTCGTTGGCTAAAGGTTAGCATTATGTCTCACTCTTAATGTTTTGAATTGATAGATAGATAGTGCGTGATCAAATTTTTGAAGTGATTTACTCATTTATTAGTTCTGAGACTTGTCTTCAATCTTAACTCATTTGGATCCCGTCATCACTAACAATATGCTTACTGAATTGTTGATACTATCTATTTTGCCAAATCGTTATAGAGGCTCACTCCGTTTGCAAATTTCTCAAGTTTTGACATGTATAGTGATCCCATTTCTAGGAGGTGTTGTTGTGGCTAGGAGATTGAATCAAGATAGGAAATTTAATTTGCATTTCTACTGATCAAATAATCAAAGCACTGCTGCATGTATTTTTATGCTAAGAAGAGATACATATAGTAGTAAACACTTGTTTCTGATGGGTGGGATGCTGCATGCAAGATGTATTTCCTTAAGGATATGATTAGTGCTCTTACTGGGTTTGCTTCACTTGTCTTTCATTTTACAAATAGAGATTTTAAAAGCCTGTGACACTTAGTGATCTGGATCTTAATACTTTACTGATGGCAAATTCAGTGTCAAAGATCCGTGCTTTATTATATACTTCTCAATATTATTGTACAAGGTATTGCTCTGATAAATTATGTTCTTGCTCAGACACTAGTTTCCTGGATATTAGTTGCTACTTGCTAGAGGCCGCAATAACTGTAGTCTACTGTGTTTTTCATTTATATAGGGAAGTATTATGGAAGGCCTCTCACTACATATAAGTTGGATATACTCCGTAATTTATATGGGGAAACATCTTGTGTGGCCTTTTGGTCTGTTAATTGAATCATTGAATGTAATGATAGTTACTTGAGGAACCTAATTTGGTATAATTTTATCTTTTTTTCTTTCTTTAGCTTGATATTTCTTAACCCATGTTTTATTTGTAGGCTGATCTTGGTAAGGTAGACAGGAAGAGAACACCTTGGTTGATTGCTTTATTCCATGTACCTTGGTACAATAGCAACACGGCTCACCAAGGTGAAGGAGATGAGATGATGTCATATATGGAACCATTACTCTATGCTGCTGGTGTAGACATGGTGCTTGCTGGGCACGTGCATGCTTATGAACGATCGGTACGAATGTTTATTAATTATTTTATCCTGTTGGTCTATATAAGAAATTGTATGTTAAGTATTTTCCAATATTTTGACAGAATCGAGTGTATGGAGGTAAATCTGACCGTTGTGGTGCTGTCCATATAACTATTGGTGATGGTGGGAACTCTGAGGGTTTAGCTCGAAGGTATGTACTCATGAACTTTCTTCATCTGCACTTTACAGTTGTGTTTACCTTCTGTCCTTGTTAGATAATCATGTAGAAGGAATACTCATCTACTTATTGCGTTGCACTAAAAATCCTAATGATTAAAGACTTGTGAGTAGATAATATATATGAAGGTAACTTCATCAGTTATGAATTAATGATCATGGCTTTCTTAATGTTAATTCTAATTTTTCTCAGCCTTTTAGTTCATTCATGAATTTCAGGCTGGTACTGATTTTCTTGATCCTCTTTGATGTATTGGTTTCCTATGGACTTCAGGTACCAAACTCCGCACCCTGAGTGGTCAGTATTCCGGGAAGCAAGTTTTGGCCATGGAGAACTCCAGATTGTGAACTCATCTCATGCTTTCTGGAGCTGGCATAGGAATGATGATGATGAGCCGGTTAAATCAGATGAGGTCTGGATAACCTCTTTAGCTAGTTCAGGATGCCTTGCAGACAAGGCACCTGAATTCAGGAAAATACTTTTGGAGCCATAGGACTGTCAGATAGTAGCAACTGTTTTCGTGTCCCTGTTATCAGTTAGCAGGAATCCTTGTAGATATTGTCATCAAATCATGTTTGTACCCTGACTAAAGATGGCTATAGAGCTTGTTTTAGAACCTCTGCCGCTAGAGGGATATCTGACAGTCTTGGTTTTAGCAGATCCTATATCTTGCTTCCGTACTGGAATTTGTGTCCACTACAGCTTATGTTGCTATTATTGTTTTCGTAATTGCATGGTGTAATAAAAAAAAAATCACCATTGTAGCACACATGTTTATATATATAGAAGTACTCGTATATCGTCCTGTTTCATCTTGGACCTTTTCTGCATACTTGCAGGCATTGTAGTTTTGTTTCAGTTATTCCTCCAACACAGTTTTAAGATTTATATCTGTGGATCAATGAATTTTTCTATTAAAAGGCTTGCAACAACTTGATTGAGCCATGGAGGTGCCATTTTCAGTGAACCAATGTACAAGTTTCAAGATTACATTCACCAATACTTTTGCTTGTCTTCATGGAATGTTGGATTTGAAATCAAACCCCACTTTGGGCACATTGAGAGTTTTTACAAAGGCTACAAGTAAATATGCACATGCCAAAAATTTGAAAATTTTAGAGGTTTGGTAAGAACAAATGGAGAAAGTTTATGTGATACAGATCCACTTTCAGCCATTCTCTCTAGAAGAAAATCAGAACTATGATTTCAGCCGGGGTTTCTAGTTGCTCAAATAGGGCAACTAATTGGTAGTTGACACACAATTTTGATTAACAGCGGATGTAGTGTAGATACTGAGTGCTGTTGCTTAGGTTATTATTTCTGAAACAGGATACCAAATGTACAACCATGAAGTATTCATGCTCAATCAGCGGTAAAAATGGAGCTCAGTCACATCTGCAGGCTATTTACTGAATGCATCGAAATAATTAGGGAAGAGTTTGAGTTCCAACAGACTAGTCTTTACTCGAATTCTGAGAAATAAGGTGTGTTGTTGTTGACTTACAAGCATCTCTCCAGTCTCTACCATATATGGAAAAACGCAAAGCATCTTCTCACTTGCTGTGTGTGAACAGTCTTTAGAAATGAAGTCCAGCAGGTACATGATAGCAATTGCTTGCAAGGAGAATTAGGGGTTCATTAGTTTTTCAGCTAAGTTTAGTGGATGTCAAACAAAAAAAAAACAAAAAAAAAACAAAAAAAAACAAAAAAAAAAACAAAACAAAACAAAAAAAACAAGAAAAATGCAACATTGCCAAGTCGAAGGAAGATATGTTAATTATATTATAGATGTATGTTCATGTTGACATAAAATAAATATAAGTACAAGATTTAATCTCATATAGAGTTTGTAATTATCAGGGTACGAACTGTAGAGCAAGGTAGGGAATCACTACAACCACAACAGTTGAAGCTACAACTTGTGCATTGTCAATTGTCATAGATATTGACCAAGCTTCAGATGAAACAAACATGATGCCACAATGAACATAAGAATCCTCAGGTATCTCTTCTCATCTCCAATCATCTCCACCTTCCCAATCAACCACGACCAGAACTCAGAGCAGCAATCACTAGGACTCATTGTCATCCACTCCTTTAAGTAGAACTATACAAGTATGTAATGATGGTCCGGCTTCAAATCTTTATGGCATACAGCAGCTTCAAGCATGAGAAACCTCCTGATTGGGTGAAACAATCTTCCCATTTGACATATAAGAAAGTGTGACGAAGATCAATGAGTACATCTCTGACTCAGACCAACCTGAAGCCAACAGTACTGATAAGATGTTGGGTAATAACAGAGCAATTCTCATTCATGACTACAAATTTGATGGCTCATTTTTGTAGCTAGCTTGATTCTCTTGGTCGCTTTTTCCCCTCCAAAGAATAATTTGCTCATCCTTGAACAAGATTGGGATACATGGTACTAGGTCCTGCATAGATTTCAAAACAATGGTTATAAAAGAAAATGTGAAAGAAGCCAAATTTAAGTAAAGAGATCTACCCTAAGTTTCACACCAATCCTTTTGCAATCGCTGGTTCCAACATAGGTACAGTCCAGTCTCACTACCTCTTCAGTCTCGAAGGCATCCCGCACTCTTTGCACCACATTCACATACACACCATTCCTGGCTAAGGAAACACATCAATCATTAAAAAGTAATATTTTTTTTTCCCCTTTTTTTTGGTTTTATCATGCTGTCTAATATTTCATAATTTCATAAGCAATTGAAAGAACAGAGAGATAACTTAGAGAAATAACATACTGAGTTTCATGAGAGCAAGAGAATTAAGCCCCTGGTTCCTCAATTCTTTGGTTTCTTCGAAAGTCAAGCCATCAGCAACATTCTTCACAAGCTTCGGATAAATTGGAGCACGAGGTTTCCAAAGCATTAAAGGAATCATAGGTCTATTTTTGGGATCATAATTCCTACCACGATATAAAAGTAGAACATTAAGGTGGCGGTAGATGACCTTTCCACCTGATTTATCCTGCAGTAAGTACAAGAGCACAATATCAACATCTCTCAACGTCCAGAATTCCCACCAAAAAAGGCTGATAAAATAGTTGATATTAGACCAGCACCTCGAGGTGGAAGCAAACATTGTCCATATCAAGAGTTGGAATTCCCAAGCATTTGATCCTCACAGCCTCAGCTCTCCGCCAATGGTTGTGGACATCATCCAACATGTTATGGGTAACTCCATCCTTCCCTACCCCCATTAAAGAAGAGGGGACAGTAAAACAAAAATGTCAAGCCACTTTCAGGTAACTCTTATCTTAAATAGGACAGAGCAGCCATTATAATGGAACCACTATAAGTGCACCATGGATTATACAAAGCCACGACAACTAATTTCCTTAATACGAGAAATTATACTTATACATTATCACATTACATACTTTACCTTGAAATTATGTTGCTCCATATTTTGTAACTAGAGTGCTGTAAATTTAATTATTTCTACACATCAAAAGGTCAACATACAGCAATATTCATGCAGAGAGCAGGGTCATGGTTTTCCTACACTCAACTACAAACACCGCTTCTGCTACAACTATCACAGAGAAAACAAAGACATACATAGTATTTGATTAATATGAATCCAATTAGTTATGATAAGTCCGCGTCACATAGGTACCTCATTCCATTGCAAACCACGCACACTGACAAAGGCGACAAAATCGTAAATGTAGCACATTTGGCCTATTTCAACAATACAAGTAGCGAATTGGGTACCCATACCACCTAAGGTATGTTATATCCTCAGTTTCTTGTCAAATAACACCAACATACAATCCAAATAATAAGGGGTGAAATTTAACAATACAGAAGCACATTTCATAAAGCAATCATCCACATTATCACACAAGAAGCTACCAAACAATCCAAACATTTCAACCCCATCATGTAGAAGCTTATGATCATCTCAAAATCACATAAATGATAAATTCGCAAATGGTCGACTTTTATGTTTTTCTAAGGCGTTCTACCAGATCGGAACCTCTAACGAACCTATTATACAAACGGATTGAATAAAAGGAGAGAGAAAAAGTACCAATATTAATCTGGCGATTACAATCATTATGACGATACTTCTCCACAAGCTCAGCAACCTCTTCTTCCGAAAGCGGCTCACCCAAAACTCTCTCTTTCTCCATCTCCCACTTTTCTCTCTCCTCTGTTTCCCCTTGGGCCGGAGCATTCGTCCCGGTCCATTTCCGGTCAAGCCGGCCCGGCCCAAACGGAGAAAACCTGGGCGGTTCACGGAACCCAATGGGCTTTACCGACGGGTCGGACTCAGAATATGAGTACCTGAAGTCGAAGGGTAGGTCGGAATTTACCGGAAAATTGGGGACATTTTGGGGATTTTTGTGGGGTTTTTTCTCTCTCTTGTTATTGTTTTGGGGTTTTGGGATGAGTGAGAAAGGTGGGTCGTCGGCGTCGGAGGAGAGAGAAGAGAAGAGAGAAGAGAATTGGGTTAGAGGGATGTAACGACGTCGTATTTGGAGTTTTAGCATTGGCTGTTGAAGAAGTTTTTCTGGTTACTCTTACTGAAAGAGTTGTTGAAGAAGAAAGGCTTTATCAGCTTCAGCAATTTATAATATGGACTGGATTTTAAAAAATTTGGGCTTTGACCAAGGCCAATCATTATGGTTTTAGGTATAATTGTTTTGAGTTAAAAAATAACCGGATTTAAATAGAGCTATCAAATCAAATCTACGGTTAGTTACAGAAAATGATTTGTACTATTAGGTCATAGTATCCCATTATCCATGCAAATCGAAGGTGTAAATCAGTTTACTTAGATTTTTGTTGGTTTAGGGACTAGGGTGTTTTGACAACCCTTTCCTTGTTGGGTGAAGAGGTGGTTTAGACGGGGGATTGATGACTTTAATAGTAAAAGCTACGCGGGAGAATTGGATAACATCGTTATCCAATTCCGTGTATGACTATTGTGTTTGAATGATGTGTGACTTTGATAGGTTAGTTACATACATGCAATTCTTTGTGATGCCGAGCATGCACATCGGTGAGGAGCAACCCTCCTCATAACTCTCTCTCTCCTCTTGTGAGCTAGCTTATCATTGCAATGGGTGACTCATTACATACTCTCACTAAGAGGTAGCAACCTCTGAAGCGTGACTGACATTTGCTGTGAGTTGCTGACTTCTTTAACAAAGGAGTCTGATTTTTTTTGAAGTCCAATTATCACATGACATTTGTCATGAATATGACAAGTTGTATTGCTATTTGCTTGAGATGTTGTAGAATGCAACGGCTCTTTATATCTTTTACACTCAATATTGCAATTATTGCTCTAACGGTAATTTTTCAATTCATTTTAACATATTTCGAAAAACTAATTTCACCAACGGTATACTTATAATTTTATCTATAAATAGAGCCTAATATATTGATATAGTTTTTCACCCTTAAAATTTCACCCTTCTATTTTTCATTATAAAAATATTTTGTGATTATGGATCTTAATAATCCTAATTACGGAAGTGGTTCCTCTCAAAATAATCCAAATAACCAATCTTTCAATTCTCCAAATTTCCAAAGTAATTTTCATTTTGATCCAAATAACCCTACTAATCCAAATGCTCAAAGAATGTTATTTTATAACATACCTAACCAACCAATGCATCCAAACCAACAATTTCTACAACAATTTCCAAATCAATTTCCAAACCAAAATTACACACAACCATTCTCAAACCAATTTTCAAACCAAAATTTGCAACAAATTCCCCAAAATTATCCATCTAGTTTTATGTTCCCGATGTCACAACATTATGGTGTGAACCAAATAATTCAAAATAGTCCAACAACTCCTGAGGGAGAAAAAAGCAGTAACTTAACCCCACCCGATGATCCAAGGGTTCCACAACAAGGTAATGATGATGTTGACGGTGTAGGTGATGATGATGTTATTGAAGCTCCCCACGGGAGCAACACTGTTGTCAGGGCAGAAAAATGGGGTGCAAAAGAAGATGATGCGCTCGTTTCGGCTTGGGTAGAATGTTCAGTTGAAGATCCAGAGACGGCAACAGATCAAAGTTTGGCCATAATGTGGAGGAACATACAATCCCTTTATGATCAAGCCAGAGAAGAAAATCCATCCACCATGCGCCCTAGAACTTTAAGATCTATGAAAAGTCGGTGGGCAAGAATAAATAAAGATGTGAGTACATGGGTTGGTTGCTATAGTGAAGCAAAAAAAAGGTATATGAGTGGTACCAACACTCATGATAAAATGACCGAAGCTCATGAAATATATAGAAGGACGTGTAATGGTTCACGCTTTGGTTTAATTGGTTGTTGGGAGATGTTGTGAGAGTTAGACAAATGGAAGCCAATAGACCTGGATTTACCTTCTAGTGATGGTGGAAATTCGAAAAGATCAGAACCAGATACTCCAACTGATGAAGGTCCAAAAACTCATACTCGTCGCCGTCGTCCTGACGGGGTGAAAGCATAAAAAAGAAAAGGTAAATCTATTGTCAATTCTGGAATTCAAATAGGGGGTAGTTCTGAAATTAAAAATTTAGAGTCGTTTACCGAAGCCCTATTAGAGATGAATGTGATGAAAGGTCAACACAAAGATGTTAATGAAAGGCGAATCGATGTAGCAGAACGTATGCTAGAGTATCAAAAGGAGCGAGATGCCATCAAAGCTCGGAAGAAACAAGAAGAAAAAAGGTTCAAGCTATTTAGTGTCCTTCTTGCAAAACCAATTCTATCTGAAGAAGAAAAGGAAATATATCTAAAATTAAAGCAAGAATTTGCACATCTTCTAGGCTAGTTTAAATATCAATTAAGGTAGTCAAACTACATGTGTATTATTCTAGTTTTAATTGATGTAATGTTACTTATATTGTTTTAACAATTTCCACTACAAGAAACAGGTTGTATAGCGACGGAATTTCCACTACGAAATATGCGTAATTTAAATGCTCTTTGTTTATTACCCAATAAATTATTTCTTGTAAATAATAATAATATAAAATTAGCTCCATAATGAGAAATGTTGTAAAATATGACCGACATGCAATGCTACATTGAAATGTCACATGTTGACAGAAAATCTGTAAGCAATATCAGAGAATCTCATCTTTCACTGTTATGTGTACCCATACATTGAATTGTCATACAAAAGAAATCTACAAACCTTATCAGAAATGTAATCTTTTTGAGTTGTTTATCCATTCAATGAATTACAAATGTAAAAAATATGTAAACCTTATCGAAAATCATATCTCTTATACTTGTGTGCCCATATATCATAATAATTACTAGTTATTTGTTTTGAATAATTTTAGAAGTTATAAATAAGGGGGCTACACTTCATATTTCAATACATAAATATAAGTATTATTTCTACATAAAAAAAAAACCTCTCTCTTCCTCTCTACCAAAAAATATTACAAAATGAACTCTGATTCAAATTCTTCTAGTTCATCTAGTTCAGGGTTATTTGATTACATGGTGAACGACTATGTAGAGTGGCATGAATCAATTACCCAAAGGCGAAAAGAAGATGAATTGATCGAGGAAGCGATCAATATAGCTGTTGTTCTCTTTGTAACATCACCTTACCAGGTCCCCTTCACTCTTGAACCTACGTACCAAAGGTGGTATGTACCAAGAGATCGAGAATATGTTGATATTCAGTTATATAACGATTACTTTAGTCCCCAACCATTGTACCCTGATAATATGTTTCGTCGACGGTTTCACATGCGTAAGAATGTGTTCACACGCATTGTTAATAAACTAAGCGAAAGTGATGTTTACTTTCAACAAAGGTCGGATGCCATCGGAAGACTAGGTGCATCCCCCCTCCAAAAATGCACTGTAGCAATTTGAATGTTAGCATACGGTACATCTGCCGATCCGATGCAGTTGACGAGTATCTTAAAATTGCGTCAAGTACTGCAAGAGAAGGTCTTGCTCACTTTGTTGAAGGGGTCATAGCTCAATTTGGACCAGAGTACTTGAGGAGAGCGAGTACTATGGATACTGAACGACTCCTCCGTGAAAGTTATGTTCGTGGATTTCCTGGTATGATGGGCAGCATTGATTGCATGCATTGGGAGTGGAAAAACTGTCCGCGTGCATGGAAAGGAATGTATCAAAGTAGAAGTAAAACAGCAACGGTGATCTTGGAGGCTGTTGCTTCGCAAGACTTGTGGATATGGCATGCTTTTTTTGGCACCCCAGGTTCTTGTAATGATATAAATGTCCTCCAACGGTCGCCGATGTTCTTTGATATATGTGAGGGAAAAGCTCCAGAGGTTACCTTCAATGTCAACGGAAATACATACAATATGGGTTATTATCTTACAGACGATATCTATCCGAAATGGGCAACATTTATCCCAGCAATCAAACATCCACAAACTGGTAAGCACAAATTATTTACCAAGAAGCAAGAGAGTTATCGAAAGGACGTTGAACGTGCCTTTGGAGTGTTACAAGCTCGATTTGCAATAATACGTCAACCAAGTCTAGCATGGTCGACCGAAATTTTATGGAAAATCGTAATGGCTTGTATTATCATGCACAATATGATTGTTGAAGATGAGCGAGATGGATATTTGCATTATGATGCAACTGAATTTATCAATGATCAACCGCAAAATTTAGCTGGATCACCAACCGGTAACAACAACCAACCATTTACCGTGAGAAGTGGACGATTGGATAGGCTCAATCTAAATGGTTATATGGAAAATAGAAATAATGTTCGTGATAGGGAGACCCATATTGCACTAAAAATGACTTGGTTAAGCATATATGGGGACGTTTCGGCAACGAATGAAGAGATGACCAAAGTTGTTGTTAATGAACATTGTATTTTAATTTTTAATACTTCCTCCGTTCTTTTTTTATCGCATCACTTACTACTTTAGGAAGTTTACTTATTATTGCATCATTTCCTTTTTAGAATAAAAAATATCTATGTTCACACTGCAAATACCCAGCATACCCTTACTTTTTCACACTTACTTTTTATTTTATCTTACATTACATGGACAATTTTGTATTTTTACGTTTCTCTCTCTTACTTTTTCCCACTACCAAATTTTGCCTCCAAAACCCCTATGATGCAATAAAAAAAACGGAGGAAGTAGATGTCTTTTCTATATAAGCTATGTTATTTAAATATTATATTATTTTTGTACTTTTCATTTCAAAAATTAGAAAAAAAAATTGAAACAACTTACATACATAAGTGATTATTAATATTGTTCTATTTAAAATGCTCTAATTAAAAAGAAAAAAATTAACAATGTTTAACTTTTTTTAATTAATTATGTAAGTTCAAAAATTACAAATAAATAATAGAGAGTAATACATGTTTTAAAAAATAATAAATAAAACAAGAGTGAGAAAGAATAAATGATGGGGTAGTATAAAAAAAATTAGGAGAGAGAATGGTGAGTAACCTCACTATTGTAGATAAATAAATAAGGTGACTTATACTAGTAGCTTAAGATAGTGGAAAGTGAGGTGGAAGATGATTTGGAAAAGAGATAAATAAATAAGGTGATTTGCATAGGTGTGAGTAACCTCACCAATGCTCATGCTCTAAGTTAGGTCATAGAAGTTACATTTGCAGGCAATAAGGAGAGATAACAAACATAATAGTTTGTATTAAGAATCCACTAGGCAGGTTAGTTGCAAGAATTCTCAACATGCCATTATCATATGTTTACTTGCATTAGTTGCATACTGCATGCCTAAAGTAGCAGTCACATTGTTCAAATTGCCACCATAGCATAATTAACCTCATTTCAACAATAGCTCTATGTTTTACTCAACGAAAGCGAGGCACATGGTAGAAGTAAACGTTAAACGGCCCGATACTGCAAGAAGCAAGATGATAGAGACTGAAGCAGGATTCTAGCACAGTGAAGGACAAGAGAAGAATATGATAAATAATCACCAAGTTTTAAATATATATCTGTTTATCAAGATTGCACTCATGTAGGTACATCGTGTTGGTACACTAATCATCGATATGAAGATAGATTCTTTAGTGCCTCATCCTTGAATCGTCTCTGGTCTTTAACCATGGACTCGAAAACATCTAGTAAGTTATCCAGCCCCTCTAACTTCTCACTCCCTCCTAGAGCCTCCAATGCGTACACAATGCTCTCAATGGTAGACAAATATCCGGGCTTAGGCTGACGCCTAACTTCACTGAACATGCTCAACTTCTCCATGTCTAATCTCACAGACGGTATAATTTTCAACCATGGATTCTCATTATACATTCTATTTGCCTTTGACCAAGTTCCGTCTAAAACAATCAAGTTCTTCACTTCAAAGTCCACAGCCTCAGCTGGCATCGCCTTCTGTGCAGGAAACAGAAGTGCTGATCCTGGTGGAACCGTGATTTGAAACTCTTCAAATTGTTCTAGTTCTACACTCCCACTGATTTGCTTCTTTTGCAGCTTCTTTACCACAAACCCTCCTGCTAGCGACTCCAGAGCCTCTGGTGACTCGGCCAAATGTTCAAGACTTAGTGTTTTCCCTTCATCTTGCAGCTTCCACTCATGAGAAATGTTGCTGATTTCTCCATATTTACCAATAGTCACACTCATTACAGCTTTAGGAATTTCGGCTTTTACATTTTTACTCGTTGCATCATCACAAACACCAGCAATTTCTGCACCACATTGCTGCAGCAAATGATCATCTTTCTTGGCCAATGCACCACCACTTCCCTCAACATCGAAAATTTCATCGACATTTTCTCGAATACAACCTGAAAACCTCTCAGAATCTGAAATATCAACGCACCCAGCTCCTGAATCAAGATCAGTAACCTGATCAAAACTCCGCTTTCCAGAAACTTTAACCCCTAAACTCTCAGAGGCATTTTCACAAACACTTGACGTGCATACTCCTTCAAACAATATCTCTGTACCATCCAACCCCAATGGCTGAATATCAAACTGAGCTTCAAACATAACATCAGTAACAGTAACAACATCGACATTTTTCAAACCCAGTTTAGCAATTTTTGCAGAATTAAGAGGGTGTTTAATTTCTAAGCTATGCTGAAGAATGGTGACATGAACTTTGTTGTTAAGATTTGGGTTTTTCAGTCGAGTGCAAAGACAGAGAGAAAGAGGTTTTGAGCAAGATGGGCAGGTGGGTCTCTTGGAATTTTGTTGGGATTCCATTTTCAAAGTTGGGATTTTGGAGAGAGAAAAAATTGTTCTGGTAAAAAATGTTGAAAGTTTGCTGGTGCATTGGATGTTGCTGATCTTAGTCTTGACTTGAGACATGAAGCTTGTACTCAATTAGGGGAGTTAATTGGGCGCCTAAAATTTTAACAATATGTTTGCATGTGTAGAATTTTGTTTAGGTAAAGGAATGAAGTGGATGTAAGTCATGTAAGGACTAAAGAGAAGAAGAGAAATTACATCTTCGTATATATTTGTTGTGATACTTTGGTACACCTACTAATCGATACTCGGTATTAGGAAATTCGCTTTGTTCTTAATGGTTTTCACAATTAATTATATGTCACTCCCTTGAGCTCTACATACATTTCTCATCTAGCAATCCTTACACTTGAGTTTCCCATCGCCTCTTTTGTAGACTGTTGCCTAGTTCATAATGGTTATTAACTTAATATAGTCGAAGTCGAGAACTTAAGCTTTACCTTTCTCATATAGTCATCCTTCACTCATATTTCCCACCGGCTTTCTTGTAGAGAGTTGTCGAGTTCATAACGGTTATAAACTTAATCTGAGCTGAAAAATTAAAGTCTACTGCTCTTCCTTTCTTATCAAGCATCCCTTACCCTCTAATTTCTCACCCTCTTTCCATATTGTCAAGTCCAAAACTATTACAAACTTATTTTGTTTAGAGCGAAGACATTTTTTTAGAAATGCAATTGTAAAAGAAGTAGTCTAGATGGCCATTAGAAGTTCAAAACCACTAATAAAATAATAATCTTGATGTAATGATAATATGATATACATTGAATTAGAATAACCAACACAATAATAATCAATTAAGTAAACGGGATGACAACTAAAAATAAAATAAATCTATATAAAACTAGGGGGAAGGCGGAACGATAAGAGATTTCCATTCTTAAAGTGTCACCGACTTTCTAATGGCAATTGAATCCTAACCTTCAAATGAGAAGGTATAATTTTTCCCACTGTACCAAGCTAAACTTGATAATTGAGAATCCAATATGTTAAAAGAAAATTAGTTAGGGATATATACGGCATTTGCTTGTCAATTCTCCACATTCAACAATTTGGATAAAAAAAATTGATGACCAATTTATTACAAACATAAATTATTAATGAAAAACTAGGATGGGAGAGTCGTTGACATCAACTAATTACCCATAAGTCATCATCCATTGATCCATATTATTGCTTCCATTTTCTTAATTTTTTAATTCAAGTATTCAACTACCAAATTGTGCAATAGCTCAAGGTGGCCACACGCCAATACCCACTTTCCCTTTGACCATTTCCAAAATTCCTCGAATAACTCTCTCTCCAATTTCACCGATCTCAAATCAGAAAACCCAGTTCAAGTTTGATCAAGCTTTGAATAATCTCAAATACCCATTTGTCGAAAATGCATGATTTTTGCTTCACAATCCCATATGGTTTGGTTCTTGTATTGGGCGGGCTCATCGGGTACGCCAAGAAAGGCAGTTTGGCTTCACTTGGTGGGGCTGCTGGTGCTGGTTTATTGCTCATTTTAGCTGGTTATTTGAGCCTCAATGCTTTCAAAAAGCGCAAAAATTCATACTTTGCTTTGATTCTTGAAACGGGTATGTTTAATTAATTGTTATTATGTTCAATCTGAGTTGTTTGATTATTGGCTTTTCAATGTTATTTTTTGGGCAATTATGTGTTTAGTTTCTTTATTAGTTATGTTTGGTTGGTTTTTATAATGTGATCATGTGTGTTTTCATCGCAATGTTAACAATATGAAGCTATGTCTTCTTGGAACCTAGCTAGATTTGTGAGAATTGTGACTTGTATTGATTTTGCAGCTTGTAGGATGTATAATTCTTATTGATTGATCTATCGTTTAATGTGAAGAATCATTATCTGAATTGGTTTTTCGCCACTCAGATTTTAGGGAAAAGGATTGTGTTGTTGCTATTCAAAATTTGTTCAACTAAATGATCTTTGTCTTGGTGATAAGATTTAATGACATTCGACCTTTTCCCTGCATTGATGTTGGCCATGACTAATGACATTTTGAGCAGAAATGACTTTCTAGTTGAGGTATTGTGAGGTAAGTTAATTTTCGGGTTTGATCAAGAAGAGCCTATATAGTTATATGAGGTATTGTTAAAAGCAGGGAAGAAAACTGTGCCAGCAATATGACCTGTGTAGTTGTGTGCTAACTATAGATAAGATTTGTGCTACCTCTTTTGGTACACCTCTTAGGCTCTAGGTAAACGAAATTTAGCTGATGAAAGAGAGTATAGCTACACAACAATATGTTGTTTTTGATGTGAAATGTTGATCTAATTTTATGGAAGGGTTTCTATACACTGGTAAGTGGGATTGCTAGTTCTTTTGTTTCCTGAATCTGATTCTGAAAGATTCCATAATCTATCAAACTTCTTGTAAATTGGAGATCTCGGCCTTTAGAGGCTCGTTGATCAGGAGTACCAAATTTTAAATGAGGACCTTTTGAACACATTGGAGCTGTTTATACAAGACTTGTTGAGTTAAAGATTACCGCAATGCGAATTTCATGTAAATTTAGCATATAGTTCAACTTCTAAATGCAGATGATTCCTGATCGTAAATAATGCCAAGGAAAGTGTTCTTGTCCAATGCAATGCACCCATCCTTGCAGGCTTTCTAAAAATTGCAGTTCCTTAACTGTTTAAGATCATGTGTGATGCATTATGAGACTACAAGTACTTCTATGATACTTTTTTATCTGGATAAAGTTCGGCAAACATGCAGAAGAAACTAGTTTGTATTTGAATGTTTTATGTTTGCAATAGTAACACTTACATACTCTTATACGAGTATGTATTTTTGCTTCTGGTAGTTGTTCTCATACCTTGAATGCATACAATTTCTTCCATACTTCCTTGCCTATAAATAAATTATATTCAAGAAAGACAATAATAAGGATTGAAAGTTTGAAATAGCTGGCCTACTTCTGATGATAGTTGAAGAAAGTTAAGAAGCGATCATAATTTCACTTTAACTCAGAGATATAAAACATGGCCATTCAGCTTTCATTCTTTGAATGAAATATCTTGAAGCATAGTATTTGAAGTTTGAACTATCTATCTATCTGAACAGTGACTGCAACTGGACTCACATATGTTATGGGACAGCGCTATATGGAGACATCAAAGATAATGCCTGCTGGAGTAATTGCCATGATCAGGTACCTTGATTAGAAAACTCCATAATCTGTTGTTCTCTTTGCATTAGTAGCATGGCTTCCTTGCATCTTCATGGTTTTAAATCCATAAAGAGTTTTCCATGAAATTTAAAGGAGCCTTGGATGATGTTGCACTTGTAAATCATTGGCAAAATGTTACCCCAACTACATGTCGTTTTAAGAATTTTTATACATTAAGAATTTGAATAAAAATCGGTTTAATTTGCATTACATTTAATATGTGTATGTTTTTCTAAATTGGTCTACATTGTTAAATTGCTAATGTTGATTTGACATACAATATTGCATTATATATTATTGTAAACTACTTGTATCTTGGATCAAAATGAAGTAGCTAGAACAACATATATTCTGGAACAGATGAAGTACTCTTACACAGTTAAACCAGGAAGATTTCATGCATGAGCACTTAAGATTTCACAATATGAGGTTTAGAATACATAATTAAATATGTTTATTTACGGAGCCTATGATTAGTCACTTTGAAAAACTATGATATACAAAGTAACTCATAATCATAGGCTATGCTAACATATGTTTAATTGATGCATGTGTTAATTAAAACATCTCTTTCCAGCTCCTTTGCTCGATATTATTTCTTCCTTTTCTGATAGATTCTCATCCATCTCTCATTCTTGTTATTTGCAGTGCATTCATGACTGCCTTTTATGCTTACAAGGTAGCAAGTGGTGGCAACCATTTTCCAGCTAAGGCTGAATAATGATAGATTATACCATTTTCAAGTCCAAAAGTTCTGTTGACTGCCCTACAGCACATTTCTGTTGCATACTAGTAACATTCTTTTTCTTACAGCTACTGTGAATCCTAGTTATGTGTAGAGAAGTTAAGATCTCTAATATATGTAAGATGTATTTGTATTGAAATATGACAAATGTATGTGTATCCGAGATACTAATTTTTCGTAGAAATGAAATGATGAATTGATTTCTAGTTTACCACTGTCTGATTCTGCGTACAACTTTCATTCTTAGTGACTTCAGAGATGGCCAATTTGCCTTGCCATTTTGCCAATATTACTTATTTTTGCTTAGGAAGAGTAAGTTATCCTATAAAAACTCTGCCTAGTTTGACCCTGAGATAGATGCATAACAGAGAATTGTCAAAGATTTACTACTGTCTTGGCATTTGGCCTTTAAACTATTGGTATGATGAATTTCTGCCCCATACAGCCCAAATGATTGGGGTTTTTCAAAGGTATGTACGATGAAAAGTTATAGACGATGAAAAATTGTTAAGAGTAAAAGTTCAAGCCCCCAGTTAGTGAACTGATATAATCCTTTATCAGCTTAAATTTGGATCAGTAAAACTTATTAGACAACTGCTTATTACATACTGAATCGTTATGAAAAGATGCAATTCTGCTGTGTGCCGTTATGTTGGAGCTTAACAAGTTCGGCTTATTCAGTATCAGATCTCAGCGCTTAAAGTAGTTTTTTTAAACCGCAACTTTTGCTCCATATAAGAGAGTACGGATTATTGCAGCAATTACCAGTAAAAATTAAATACGGAATACACTCGTAATGGGTTAAATTCTTGTTGCTCAAGCCATAGTATTCTGTTTCCCTTCAAATTCGCTTAAATACTTGCAGCAAAAACTAATCCTATAAACAATCCAATGGCGCCTGTGTCGCATGTTTTTCTCGAATTATGAACATGAAACTTGGAGGTATTGGAGACAAAACCATTCCCTTTAAGGATCAAGCCATAGTAGATAGATCTTGTTTCTCATGGAAAATGATAGACTTGTTATTTACATAAATTATGTACAATTATTTATTTGATTTGGTTCCTGTTAAAAAATAGGGGAAAAAAAAAAAAGGTTTTTTACTTTGATCAAATAATGTCTAATATCTGGAATCCAAATTTAATTCAAGATATGTAAAAGGAACAAGTTGTCATGTGAAGACAATCGATAAGCTAGCATGCAACAAGCTTAATAACATGTGCGCTAGATAAGAAGTGCATGAAAATTGCTAATTTAGTCAAAGTTACTAATAACTAATCATAAATTAACATTAAATCACATCATAATTCATAAACATGATTTGTTCCAACTTATTGAAAACTCTTAGGGTTATATATGTAGCCACAATGTATGATACTACTACATGTTTATCCAGACAAGTTGTTTTTTGAACAAAGGAAGCAATTTCACCATCATATCAGATAGCTAAATCGTAATGAAAGACACCACATAACGAAAGAGAGTAGCATAATTACAAGTAAGATGCTCAAATCTATGCGTTGATTGCAGGACATCTCTAATGAGCATGATCACATCCTTAGCCATCGCGAGAAGAACTCAAATGAAGACCTTGGAACTGCTAGCCACACAAACGAGGGCTTGGATGCAGAAGTGTAAAGAATGCAAGCTGCACGTACTCTATCCCTTTATAAATGGAATTTAAATGTGAATGTTAACACGGTAACAAATTAACTATGCTACTACAGTACTACTGCAACTTATTCTATGCTGTTATAAGCCTGTCGATATTAACTTTGTCAATATCAAGGACGTACAAAATTCCTGTATATAGTGAAATACAACTGATCAATTGTGAATGATCTTCTCAGCGAAGATATGCAGGAAAATATGTGGGAGCTATTGCTCCAAGATACAACTAAAGATCGATTGTAACCATAACTGAAGAATCAATTTGAGATATCACTTGCTAAAAGGAAAGGTGAAACTTATATCTACGTATAATTAGAGTCGAATCAAGCTACAACAAAAGTTGCATTTAGATTAATCATGTGTACAGACAACACTATCTATGGTATGACTAGCTGAACCAAATATACACCTTACATCAACCTACATATGTTATGATGTTATACACGAAAATTATGTACAGAAATAACATGAAAGTATAAAAATCCTGCTATTTTGCTAAAACCAACTAGAGTGACTCATTAACAGTTTTTTGGTCTGTAATATTTTGGAGGAAGGGATGGGCACTTTTCGTTCATATGTGGGTACGGATCAATGGTATTGTAACCAGGCAATTCCATTCTATATCTTCCTCGGATTTGACAAAAAGGAAGCTCCACATTATCACTGTCATTGCACCAACTCGGAAGCCGACTTAGATCATCTTCGAAAAACTTCAGTGAGTAGGCATCCTTTATCTGCAATCAAAGTAAAATATATCAACCTTTGGTTTCACAAAGACAGTGAAAATAGGACACGTCCTCGTAATTGTGCCCCAAGTTACATCAACTATTAGCAGCTCAGCTGCCTGTTTATATTGGAGCAATTAAAGGAATGTCAAATAGATCTCAAGTGATGCTGTTTTGTTAAAAGAGGGGGGTTAGGGTGATTCTGGGTGTATGCAGGGGCACTGTTCCTGAATCATGCTGCATAATTAAAAGAAGCACAAGGACAGGCATTAACCCCATTAAACAGGGCCAGTTAAAAAACTATTAAGACTGAGGTTAAAAAAAAAAAAATCACAGTGAACTCAGTTGCTTGAATGGAACTAGAAAGTGGCCCAAAGAGTCCAGCTGCCTTGTATATTTGAAGAACATAAGCAACACATGAGACTGACGATCCATCTTCATAGATCCAATCATCTTGCTCAGGAATAGCAAGCAACTGATCAAAGGATGAGCCACGTTTTTCAACTTCTACAAGAACTTCGGGAAGATCAAGATCCTGCATAGGGAAAGGGTAGCCACATATAAGCAAAAAACATTTACAAAAGTCACATCCCTGTATAAATATTTTTGTAACAATTTTTTTTTTATTAAAGACAACATTCCATTCCTCCCCCGATTATCATAAAATCATGTTCCTTAAAAATAAAGGGTGGTAGCACACAAGAGGGCAAATTCAGTGGTTCAATAGAACATGCTAATCAGGAAGCAACTAATCACCGTTCACATCTTATCAATCAGTTGGGACAATAAATGAGTCAATCACAAAAACTAAGAAGAATGAGAGACATTATGGAACATTTACCTCAGTTCCCAACCGCTTATTCAATGCTTCCTTCCACAAGTTAGCTGCATAAGCAGGCTGCATCTGATACCATATTGTCATCACAGAAGCAACCTGAAAAAAAGGAAACATATAGATGAATAACTAAACTAAATTGTACTACAATATACGTAATAAAACCATCAGTCAGATCATGAATTTTGTACATCAATAGGCCTTTCATTAAGTTTATCATAAAAGTGGAACTGACATATCTAAACGCTGAAAGGTGATAAAGACATAAAAAAGAGACTGATAAACTGATTGAGAAAACAAACTGAAATATTCGACACTAAAAGATTAGCTATCACTTTTCAAATAAGAAAATAACCTATTGACATAATGATAGTAATAATCTAAGATATTGTATACGTAAAACACTAAAACTTTACCACCTGTAAAACCTATACAATATACGAATAAGTCCAAGAAGTTATTTTTCAAAAAAGAAAAAATTCTGTTGCAAAAAATCAGAATAGTCAAGGTTTTTAATAAAATGTAGCTAATAATGCAGACCATTATACTTGTCCTTCTATTCAAGCTTTGACATAATAGCCAATTTCTGATAAAATACAAAAAAAAAAAAAGTAAAAATAAAAAATAAAAAAGCATCCTAAACTCAACAGAATGGAATCCTCAAGCTGGATGGCCAGAATCTACACTAGCTAAAAAAAATACATATATATATTAAAGAAAAATATTTTTAAAAAAATATCAACGCCAGCAACAAAATTTACAGAAAATTCACATTTTGATACTTACAAGTATTAACTAGTACACATTTATTATGTTTAATTCCAGGGAATTTTCAATTCAGAGATTGTATGGTTACAATTACAACAATACAAGCATTAGCAGCAAACTGTGTATGCAGCTAAAAGTTGCCACAGAGTGAACACAAATTCTTGAGAATCGAAATCAATATTCATGTGATCGTAATATGACATCAAGGATATAAAGCAGAGTGTTGACAATAAATAATAAAGTAAAATGAAGACATGAATTCATTAGCCAAGAGTTACCCATAAAAAGAATTTGAATTGGAAAGAATGGTAGGACAATTTCTAGGAATTCAACAATCCCAGACTAATAAAGTCGACTAAGCTTAAAGAGAATGTAAGAAATATGTCATACCAGATGTGCATCCAAAGGAGGAGGATAATTCTTATCAATAGTGTCTACCCAGCTGAAAATAAGGTTATGGTAACCATATGGCTGCCCATCCATGCTTCTTGCATACTCCCAAGCAGCACTTTCATTAAATTTGGCGCGTAGAGAAGGATGTAAGGGAAGCAATGCAATGTGGGGATTGGCGTTATCTTTAGTCAACTCATATTCCCACCACTCATCCCACGTAAGCAGAGCTACAACATCTTCTCCCTGTAACATGAAATTACAAAAATTCAGTGTCAAACTGATACAAAACAAATGAAGGCAGCTAAACCTCCAGACAGATAACAATTAAAGTAATCACTGAGCAGCAATGGTAAAATTATATTTGAGTTGGTTCATACAGAGACTGTTATATATTCATAAAGTTTGGAAGACTGCATAATCATATCAATATGACAGGACATCATTAATTCACCTATGTTTCTCAATCAATAGTTTCTAAGCTAATTAAAGTTAACATGGGAGGAGAAAGTTGTCTAGACTCTGGATAACAAGGGGGGTTAGTGCCTTAGTGGTGAGGATAGTATAGGATAAAGAGATGGTGAAGGAAGCGGAAATACCCATACTTGGACATCCCTAGCACAATGACAAATGAGGGATTTAAGATCTCCACATTTCTCTCACCTCTCCAGTCTCAAAATCCGTCCCTACAATCATATTATTAAATATAGTAACAAGTCGATGATAACGAGCAAAGTTTCACAGCCATGTTCTAGAAATCTAGAAACAGGACTGTCCAAATCAATCAGTGAACAAGCCATGTTCTTCTCTTAAAGAATCCAGGTATCAGCAAAACAATCAACCTGGCTGTTTGGTAAGTATGGAGAGTACTCAAACTTCAAGGTTGTTTTTCTAGAAAATGCATTAGCTAATAAACCGTTTTCTTTATGTACAATTACCTTGACTACTCACACTTATACGACTATTAAAAAATAGAGTTTCCACTTTCCAGTTACCTCATTTTTTTTTTGTGTGTGTGTGTGTGGGGGGGGGGGGTGAGGTGGTCACAGAAACATTTGACTAGTTGTCACTAGCAAATGAAGCAAAATTATGTTTCTATAGAAAAGGTATAAGCTTTACACCACTATTTAGTTCATTCCGTGAATTGAAAATTCAACCGAGAACCAACAATCCTCCACAGAAGTGACTAAACCCCTTGATCATTTGTCAACTTTTCCATTACCGGCAACTTCAGAAAAAACATACGTGCACAAATTCAAAAGGACCAATATGTACATGAAGTTGTAGCCTTGAGATAACCATGCACAAGACACAATAATGCTCAGCATTTTACCTTTAACATAAGTTTTGGGATAAATAAGGTCATATAAGGACCAATAATTCAGGTGAATTTAGATAAAGAGTCCATAAGTTCAGAAAAGGGCAAGCAATAGCAATTTACAACAAAACATACGTTCAAAATTCAAATAGATTAAGATTAGTTCAAATGATGACCAATAAGTACAAATAAGAAGTTTCCAAGTTTCAACTCAAGTATCAAGAATGAAGACATAACTACACTGACCTTGTCATTTTCATGTCCAGATTCTGCAACCCATAGCTTTCCATCAGAATCCCTCAAGCACACAGCACTATGACCAGCATAGGATCCAGTGACCCACTTCTCCAGGGTTTCAAATCCACCCCAACGGCCACGAATTTTTGATATTGCAAGAAAGTCTCCAGATTGAATCTCATCAGTGGTAATGTTTGTAACCCAAGGTTTAGGGCGTTCCTCAAACGAAGCCCCCATATGCTTCTTAAGGAAAGCAAGGTTAGAGTTCTCACCCCAAGCAGTATTTGTAAATAGAGGGAAGACCTCCCATAAAGCTTGCAAAGTCCCAAGCATTCCAGCTTGCAAAAGAAAAATTGAAACCCCATGTTCTTTTACCTGAAATAAAGAGTGTCAATGAATTCCTAATAAACAAGTCAGAGAGGAAGAAATGCCCAAAATGAAATGAACTCACATATTCATATTCGTTTTTATCTTCCCACTCTTTGAACTCCAGAGTATGTTCCCGAGATAGTAAATAGTAGTCCCATGTCACACGATATGGAGTTGCAAAGACATAAATGTCCATACAGGTCCAGCTATGGGCATTGCTAACCTGGTTGCATAACAACAAAGATAAGGCTATTAATGTAATCCAGTGTTTCAAGGATCATAATAATAAAGCATCCCAAGGCTTACAAAACCAACATACCAAAAAGTGACCAAACCCATAATCAAAAGGTTTTGGCAAATGATCCTATGATAATGCATGAAGATAAAAGAAAGGAATAGAAAGCCATCTACTTTCTACAAGTCTACAACAGGTCAAGAGCATATCAAGGAGGGTAAAACGTCCATTGAAGGATTCCAGCCATATAACACACAAAAGACACTGTACAAGCAACAAACATAATATCAGAGAAAACATCCATACTATAGCAAACATTAGGAGTCTTGTTCCAAAATAAGGAGGAGCTGAGAAGCTGAGAAGGGTAATACATGTAAAAGACTAAAAGTTTAGTGATTAGTGAGGAGGCAATACCTATGATTAGATTCCTAAATATAGACACATCAGAAACTAGTTCTTAACGAAGCTTCACAACCATTTGTAAATCATATTTACTATTCAATCTTCATCACTGTTGGCAGTATTGACCGGGAAAAAAAAAAAAAAAAAAAAAAAAAACCCACCTGATATATGTTCTTGTAATACTATGTTTATCGGTATTTGTGTGTACACCATCCCCCACCCATCCACCCAAACTCCCAATTCCCAAATTAAAATCGAATAAGGATTTAAAGCCATTCCTCAAAACTCCAGGGGATCACCAAACAGCCAATGAACCCATCTCCTTTATCTTCTTTTCCCATTAGCTAACCAAATAACAGTAAACATGAAAGTTCTAAGAATACCTAAGCCAATCCATTCTACACTAAATCATTTGTTAATACATTGCATCTCATATGCACATAAACATACATAAGCCTATGTATGGGGACCCATCAAAAGTGTCAAACTAGGATATAGTAATTGACACCGACGAGTCTGAAGAGTCACACCCATATCTGACATAGGTATGGCAAGGCAGGTGATACAGGAGAGCATATAACATAAAGGCATAGAGCTAACTTAGCTATAATCACATGTAGCCACTGAACTTCGAAATCTAAATCAGAAAAGGTATAAGGTTATGTTCCCGTGGACATCTCTAAACTCTCATAGTTGCAGAAATATAAAGAGGTTGCTTCCAGGCATATCCAAAGAGAGATCTTCATGTCTACAGTACTTATAAAACATTCATATAACTGCATAAGTGCATATGTATAAATAGAGCCACAACTGATCGCAACACAGAAACAACTGAAGTACTAATAAAAGACCGACATGCTATAATATTTTGCAAATTGCTCCACTGTTACAGTAAAATAAGCCATGATACAATTGTTTCATTCATTGAGTGATAGTCCTTCTGTTGCATGGTATATGCCCTACATTTCATAACAATATTGTACAACTCTTTGAAATTCTAATTATGACCTGTGGTGTTCAATAGAAGATCAGGAAGAAAAATATTCCTTTCCCTACCCTCCCTTTCCTTCCCTCCAAAATTACTCCCCGCACTTTCTCTCCCTCCAGAAATGCGATCCAAACACAGCATGGAAGGGCAGATCACTGGCAAGGAAGATAAGAAAAGATGATTACCTAGTATTAATATGTTTTTTGCATTTAATTGGTTCTCTCCCCTATTCCTAGCTCTAACTCCACTTCTCCTCCCCGCTTTCACTTTGCTTCCCCCCACCCTGTATCTCTCAACTGTAATATTCAAACTCCATTCCTCCAACCAAAACTCCATGAATTCATCAAACAGCCAATAACCCATTCCCCTTCCCTTCTTTTCCCCATTCAAACCTAATCAAACAGTTCCAAACATCTCGTCTACAACCGCACTACTCCATTCACCAAATTCCCACAAAACTTCACAAATTAAGTAAATTTACACACACACATACCTTAATTTTCAAATTCATTCAAATTTAAAATAAAGCAATAAAAACGAACACCAAATTCAACTAAAATTATACAGTATTCTTAATTAATCAATTTCAGCTAAATTCACAATATACCCACTTGCCAATATTAAACAGAAGTTCAGGAAGAAAAACAAATTAATCCTATTGAAGTTCATATGCAAACAAAAACACAACATACACACATTCCAACAAAAAAAAAAAAAACCAACTCAATCAAATTGAAGTCCAAATACCAAAAACCCACATAGCAAAACCTCAAATATCACTCAAGATTGATTAAAAAAAAAAAGAAAACAAATTCAAATTAGAAAGAAAAAATTGGATACAAACCTTAATATGAAGGGTACCCCCACCAAATTGACTACCACTTTTATTATGAAATTCAAGCCAAGCAGTATTCTCATAAAAGCAAGCCCCTTTCCAATCCAAGCTATTATTCGAAGAAGAAGAAGCAGCCCCCACAAAAGTCGGCAAAAGGTCAACCGCCCGGTTCAAGGTTTTAAGAACCGGCCATGAAACCTCTTTAGGAAGAAGAGGAAGAACATCAGAAGGGTAAAATGGGGATTTCAGGGAGTTCGAAGTGGGGAAGAAGATGAGAAGAAAGAAGAGATAGAAAATCGATAAGGGCGTGTGTGGCATGGTTGTTAAAATTTGAAGGTTTCTTGAGTTCATCAATGGAGTTTTGTTGATTTATATATAAATTGGGTAGTTTTAATTGGGTTCATCCAAACACGCCATTGTTAGTTTGATGTAAGAATTGAAAGACTCAGAATTTGGAGAGATTAAACGGTGTCGTATTAGGGTGAGATTCTTTCTTACGGATCCGAATATACGGAGATTTTTTTGTTTGTGAACGAGTGCCACGAGACATGAATGGGTAGCTTATTGTTACGTGGTGATGAGTCTGATGACAAAGAATAATCTGGATCACTAAGGGTGGATTTCGAAATTGAAGTTAATGATTAGGTTAATTGGTTAAAGCGTTAAGAGGTGGTATCCGAAATTAGATATCAAAGAATTGACTAATGTAACTTATAGCATATTTCGAAATTATAAGAATTATGTAGACGGAATTTGATCTTAGTTCTTAAATATCACTCCTCAAGACTTTAATCGAAAAAGCTACTTGATCATTCGCTCTAAGGGTGCGTACTTGTAATTGATATAATATGAGATGTACATAAGTATAATATAATGGTCAAAGGTAGATTTGCAAAGGTTGAAGGTAAATGTAACAAAAAGATTTAGGTTTAGGATTCAAGGTTTAGGGTAGCTCAAGGAATAAACTATTTCTGGAAGTTGATCGCTTCTTTGGACAAGCACGGAGTTTGTGATATGGAGGTCATTCTAGAGGTGTTGCAATGGAGGTAACATAGAATGTGATGTTGAAAGTCTTGTAAGCGGGGTTTCTCTGTTAGTGTCATATAAAAAGGTTCCTAAAGATTTGGACAGTGAGTCTATTACGGTTCATTGCAGTGGGATAAGGGTTTTCACCAGCATCGGTTTCGATCCCGTGGATGTTCTTGTATATCTGTTTAGATTACATCCTCAAATTTGCCATGTCTTATTCATGGCAATGTGCTCAATTTTTTATTTTCATTCGAGGTCTATGCATGTCAGGCGATTTGTGTTGTCTCTAGTAAAACTCAAATCTCAACAGAGGTTCCCCTAGGTGAAAAATTCTGGGAAACGGAGGCTTTAATTCCTTCGATTCCTTTTTTTTGTGGTTCAAAGCACCAAATTGCTCACTTTCTAAAGGTCTTTAGTGCTTCTTCTCGATTGTTAATGCAACTGCATATCATGTTTCAAAAGAGTTGATCTAATCAAGATCCCGGCATTTCAATTTAGTCCTCCAAAAGAAGCAACTTTTCAAGGGTTTGTAGGCAATCTTTACGGTCCTAAATTACAACAATTGTATTATATTGTGGAAAATCCTTTATGTCGTATAGGTGTGTTCTGTTCACCTAATTTTCACTTATATAAACTTATCTTATCTTAACTTACCTGAACTTATTAGACCTTATAAAAACTTATTTTAGTTGTAATATGTACTTGCGTAACCCTAATCAAAACTTATTTTTCCTGAACCTGAACTTATTACACCTAAAATAAGTAAAAATAAAGTGAATAGAACAGGCTAATCTATAATAAAAATTCCATCGAAAAATATTTACATCCTTTATAATTGTACCGCCATGATGCACCCGAGGGTATCTTTTTTGCTTATTAAATAATCAGATGAGCAAAAAAACACTTCATTGGCTTGATGTACCTTGCAATTGCACCAGAGTGTACATAAAAAATTTCAATGATTTTTCATATGATCAACTAGAAAAAATTACCCAATCAAATAACATAAAATTCCAAATACAAAGGTCAATTATATAAAATGTAAAAATAAAAACTATTTAAAAATCACAAATTTTCTACATCCTAAAACACAAAATAATATGAAATATAATAAGGATTGGTACATAAAATAATTTTTGTAATGCATTAAGGTTATTATAAACATAAGATCAATTACAAATATGAAATATTATATTTTGTTTTTGTTTTTTAAAACACAAGATCGAAGTATTTGTTTAAATGTGAATAGTGTTAAGGTTCTTTTTAGATGGGAAACCAATAAGAAAAATAATTAGGAACGAATGAAGTATACATAGAATTAAAAATGAAATTAATTTTTCATCGAATAAAATTACCCTTTAACCAAGTTATGTCATTTAAAAAAAAACTCATTTGCCTAATAAAATTACCCTTTAACCAAATTATGTCATTTCAAAAAAAGCTATTATGTTAATTTATTTTAATTTAAATTAAGGATTAATACTGTTTTTTAATCCCAACTTTCACCAATTTATTTTTATTAATCCCAACTTTAAAGTGGATTATCATTCTTCATACCCAAATCGGTCAACAAAAGTCAACAACCTTCTATTGTAGGTTGCTGGACACGTGTTGCCACGTGAATGGTCCAATTTTTTTTTTTTTTATTGAACCAAATTTTTTTTATAAAAATCAAAAAACAAAAAAAAATTTCCTTTTTTTTTTTCATAATTTTTTTTTTTATTTCCCCCTCCACCTCCATTAATGGCGGCCACCTCCAATCCACATTCCCCTTCTCCTGCTTACCCCTTTTCATACCGGAGTAGCCCCACCCCAGCGAACCAAAGCTACCCCCCACTGCACCCTATCTTCGCCGAACAACACCCCCACCTCTTTCCCTTTCAGTTAGCCTGGGTTTCAATGGGTTTAGGGGTTGAAAGGGGTTTCGATCTAGCACGGGTTTCGATGTGGCTGGTGTGGTTTTAGGGGGTATGGTTCCGATCCAATGCGGGCTTCAGTGAGGCTGGGTGTGGTTTTATGGCAGCGTTTGTGTTTCGAAGTGGTAGTGGGGTTTTCGGTGTAAGGGTGGTGTTTTAGGGGTGGCTAGGTGAGATTTCATGGTGGGGTGTGGTTTTGGAGGTGGCTCGGTGGGGTTTCAAGGAGGGGGTAGGAATTCCGGTATGAGGGTGGGGGCGGGTTCACAGATCAGGCTAGTTTGAGATGAAGGTGGTGGTTTTCGGTTGGGTTTATACGGTGGGGGAAGCGATGGTGGTTTGATGGTTTAGGGGGAAGGGAGTCGTCGGCGTGGGGAGGGGGATTAGGGTGCGGCAGGGGTGGAGGGATGAAGACAGGGCCGTGGGTGGTGGTGGGTTGGGTGGCTCTGATTGGAGCTGATTTTGAATTTCTGATTTTTTTTATTTTTATTTTGTTGTTTTATTAATTAAATTTTCATTAACCAATTAACTTGTGACACGTGTCACTTTTTAAAAAATAAAAAATAAAATAACCCATTCAACCGACCACCGGTTTTTGGGATTGAAGAATGATAACCCCCCTTAATGTTGGGATTATTGAGGAATAATCCAAAGTTGAGATTAATAAAAATAAATTGGTGAAAATTGGAATTAAAAAACAGTATTAATCCTTAAATTAATTGTAGTTTCCTTTTGAGTGTCTTTTTACTTTTGGCAATTTATGTATTTATTTTTTAAGGTTTGCAATGTCAATTTGTGGAGTTCAAAAATTGGACAGTACACTAATTTTCACTCTCACCCCAACTTATGTAATAGAGATTATTTAATAAAAAAAAATGTAGTAGAGATTATAAACAGAATTATTCAAAATTCTCTTTTCTTTAATTAGTATGGAGAATTAATGCGGAATATTTCATATTATATATATAAAAAAATTGTTTCCCTTATAAAAGATCTTCAATATTAAAGCAAAGATATATTAAGATAATATGAATGCATTTTATTTGTTAATTTCTACTCCGTATTCTCTTTAACGTCATGAACATTCATATCTCTATAGTGCAAGTGCAACCATTAAAAAAACATCTCTTAATACATATCTTGACAAAAAGGGATTCTGTTAACAAGAATTAAACAAGTTCTCTCAAGAGTCAAGAGCAGTACAATACTTCCTCCTTGGTCCTCATAATTGTTTTTACTCTAAATAGCTAAAATAATGAAGATTCACTTCTCTTAATTATGTAAGTTAAAAACTTTTGATAAAAAAAATTACACTCTAGCTAATATAATGAAGATTCACTTCTCTTAATTATGTAAGTTGATAAATTTTGATAAAAAGATATCCACTAAAGTTAAATGCATTTACCTAAGGTTCATTCTTTAATTTAGGTAGGATAATTTTTGGGGGTGTTAAATACCGCCCTTGAATCTCTAACTAACGCCCGCAAAATAAAATATGTATTACGAATTTACCCTCATACACATAAACAAAAAATTTACCCACACAAACACGATTTTAACCCACACTCTCTCCCTCTTCTCCTCTTAAAAACTGTTTTCTCTCTAAACCACCACCACCATCACCATTTACCACCCACACCTCCTCCTTCCACAAGAACTATCGCGCAGAAATGCCAAGGGACAAAGGGAAGGACGTCAAGGTTCGTTTTTTTTAATTTTCTGGAATGGGCTAAAACGCCCTTTTTCGGCAGATCTAGGCGGAAACGCCTAGTTATTTCGAAACACCGTTTGGGTGTTCGAAATTTTGGCCAGTTAGGGTTAAACGCCCAGAAATTTTGAACACCCAGACGATGTTTCGAAATAATTAGGCGTTTCAGCCTAGATCTGTTAGAAAAAGGGCGTTTTAGCCTTGATTTTTTTTTTTAAAAAAAAAAAAATCGTTGTTTTTTCTTTCTTAAAAATTCGTTTGTTTTTTCTTTTTAATTCATTCACTTCAATTATTATTTAGTATTGAGTATTGTTATTGTTATAATTCTTGTTATTGTTTATTAGTATTATCGTTATTATTTTTGTTGTTGTTGTTGTTTATTATTTTTGTTGTTGTTATTGTTGTTGTGTATTTTTGCTGTTGTTATTATAAATATTGTTATTGTTATCATTCTTCTTGTTGTTGTTTTTTATTATTATTATTGTTGTTGTTGTTGTTTAATACTCGTAATGTATTTTGTTGTTGTTATTATTAATATTGTTATTGTTATTATTATTATTATTATTATTTTTATTATTATTATTATTATAATATTGTTATTTTTGTTGTTTATTATTATTATTATGGTTGTTTAATACTCGTAATGATTTTATTAAAATGATACATAGATACATTGTAGTATTTCTTTTGTTTTCAATTGTTTACATCACCTATTTTGTTCTTATAATTAATATTATAATTTATTCTAAATTTAGAATTTAGTCGAGGGTTTTGGTCCACGGCATGCTAGATCACGCAGTATTAACACGTCGATTAGAAGAGATAGGGGGATTAGTATACAAGAAGGTAGTTCAGTACTGGAGCGCTACAGGGTAGTGGATGATTCTGGGACTCATTTGGATGAGCAGGAGGGAGCTAGTGGTTGGCCTAATGCTTTGTTAAGGACTCCTGGCTCGGGTTCGGGTTCGAGGTACGAGGATGATGGACATGCAAGGACGATGAAGATGAGGAGGGTGAAGCTGAGGATAAGGAGCAACCGACTGTTGTGACGAAAGGTCCTGATGGGAGATTCACAAGTTCCCGACCATGTCGATCTGCATCATCTTGGCTTATTCAGGGGCCGATGGGCAGTGGGCCCGAGGATGAGAGCGTTAGTCCTAGTTACGGGGCCCATGTTGCTCGAAATATTTGGGATGGGCATGATCGACAATTTTTGCGATGTCAGACTAGAGCTGGTGTGTGTAGAGACTTGACTGCATGGCTAGAGCGATTTACAGCTGCCACTACTACGCTGATACGGTAGACTGGGTTATCGCACCTGCCTAGCATTATGCACGACCACCTTGATTTTCCACTGATTTATGCTTTTGTTGAGAGATGGCAGCCAGACACGAACACATTCCACCTACCTTTTGGTGAGATGACCATCATGTTGCACGACGTACATCACATACTTGGTATTCGGGTTGATGGGGATATGGTTACGTTGACGATGATCTCCCTAGTGACCAGTATAGGACATTGGTATCTGGGTTGTTACAATTGACTCCGCAGGAGCTACAGGTCAAGACTCAGAACACTATCTACAAGAACGGTAGCGTCCATACTGACCAGATTATTGCTAGGTGTGGTACTGAGGAGCAGCCGAGCACTGTTCAGGCCATTGGTTACATGTAGGTCCTTTTGGGTAACATGATCTTTTACTGACAAGAGCGGTACTCGTACCCACCCTTCTTTTCTCGGTGAGTTGTGTATGGAGGAGAACTTGGAGAGGTTGACGAGATACTCCTAGGTTTCAGCCACATTAGCGTACTTGTATCGTCAGCTTGGGTATGCCACCCGAAATGGATGTGATGGGATCATTGGTTGCCTGACTCTTCTACAGGCGTGGATATACGAGTACTTTCCATATTTTCGGCCTCACCAGGGTGTATTGACGCGAGACGTCCCTCATGCTCGTGCAGGGTTATGGGATGTTGGTATGATGCGGAAGCATCAGCAGCGTCTCGTGTCCTTTCGTACTCGAATTGACCAGTTGGGTGGCCATGAGGTGTAAACAAATACGTAATTACTATTTGTTTTATCTTGCTTTTATTTACAGTTGATTTACACTAGTACTAATTTGCAGGTATGCTGGTTGCCGTATAGAGCTTTTCCTGCACAACAGGTGCCTAGGACCATCTTTATGGGATGTATTCGCTATCTGGGCATCATAGAGCCATATATGCCTGATCAAGTTGTTCGACAGTTGGGGTTTATACAGGAGATTCCCGGTGGCATGATTAGGCCTGATGATGCTCAGAGACCAGTTAGTGTGAAGTCTTATAGGGTCACTTTTTCAGCTTAGATGACCACTCTCATGTGGGATAGATTTGTCCTCGGTACTGCATTCAGGCTTGGTGGATATACTAGAGTTCCACGAGGCGGACATACTTGTGCAGCTGACTACCTATCATAATTATTACACAAAATAAATTAAAATATACGATGTATAAAAACTCGGTACCTACAAAATTAAAAACAAAATATGACATTTAATTAAGTTATTACACAAAATAAATTAAAATATACGATGTATAAAAACATTATTTAATCGATAATCACCTGTATCAGATGAGGGTGGTCTACTTCTAAATCGAGTATCTTGCCCATTACGTTGAACATGCTCGAAAAACGAAGGATCCCGCCTGTTCCTGCTCTCGGGAGGTCGTCCACTTACTCGGGGGTTGACTCGTGGCTCCTGTAGGACATCGTAGTTAGGATCCATCTCACCCTCAATCACTCGAGACACGTGCCAAAGCATCACAGGGTCGCTGACAATAACCTTATCAATAAGGGTGCGGAAATGTGCTCGATCCTCATCATTTTCAACAACTATCATCAGGAATGTCGACACCCACTCCAATGACAAGGGTCCTCCAATATGGATGAATGTTTTTCGTATACAACCCCTTTCCTGCAGCAATCGAGTCATATATTTGGCACGCACAAGGTACCCCATGGGTAGTACATAGAGCACACCCACAGCGTCGATGGACATCCGTACTCAACCCTCGCATCCTGTTCGTCTCACTGAGAAGAATAGACAGACAATAGTGGGATACTTTTCCGTTCAGCTGATGCAAAGGCTTCTGCTTGTACTTATGACTAGCAGTTGTTCTACATGCCTCCAAACCATTATGAATGGTTATGATCTGGTTCTCAATCGAGCAGTGCACTTGTGCCCAAACTGCGTCTAAAGAACCTGTCGAATTGTCAATCAATCCAACACTTCAATGCCGAATGCTGGCTCTCAACCCTGCAGTTGTCAACATTGCCGAAGTGCAGTACCTGGTTCATCCAAAACATCACAAACTTCTCCTTGTGTATAAGCCAATTGTCCACAACATAGTCAATCACTTTCGGCCATCAACCCTACTTGGTTTTCTGTTTTACGAGGGATCTGTTATACGCCTCTTCAGACGTAACATTAATCACATGCCTCCACCTCCTATTTTTGAACTCGGCACCAATCTCCTTCTTTTTGTCAAACATTAAAGTAACCTTCGCCTCAACATCTTTGTTAATATGCCACACATACGCAACATGTGCCTTGTTTTTGGAAACACACTCTTCAATGCCGCACAAAGGCCAAGCTCCCTATCTATACCAAAAGCTCTCTATGATGACCGATCAACAACCTCAAGCACTGAAGCACCCACCGATAACTTTATTCGGACTTCGACCTCATGAATGCGTATGCAACAAGAAAGTTCTGATTAGTCGGTGTACCCCAACAATCTCAAATATTGGCATGTCATACCGGTTTGTCTTGTAAGTGGAATCCATACCTATCACGTACGGATATGCGCGTAGCAAATTTGTCATGATCGGGTGTACAATGAAAGCATGTTGCAACACATTGTTGGTATCGGTCATAACCCAAGTGAGGTATTTGCTCTGTCTGGCCAAATGAAGCACCTCGTGAACTACCTCTCTTCCCTCGAATCGCTCCATTATGATGTTACTTCTGCAGTTGTAGACATGCCTGATGTTTGGATGGTCTCCAAGAGACTTTTCTAAAAGAGCTCTCATGATATGCCGAAGCGGCACCTGTGCCTGAGTCATGTCACGCACTATCTGTTTAGCAGCAGGACTAAGACCGCTGATTTGTTGATGTCCCTCGGGATACACAACCAAAAAATGGTTGTGAGTGTCGTTCAAGCAACTGAGCTTCCAACCACTTACTACTCTGACATACTCAACCTTGAGTTTGGAGGGACAACTAATTGCCTTACTTTTCGTGTCTTTGCATATCGCGTTCATCAGGTCTCTTATCATGCTCTTTTTTCCACGATCACAAGTCACATATCGATAAGACCGACCACTCCAATCCTTCTTGTAAGAAGACTTCACTAACATAAATCCGAGCAACCGACAAACATTTTGTGCCCATAGAACAACATCCTCAAAACTCGAAAACACAGCTTCTGTCAAAAAATGTCCGCTGTAGTCCACACCATCACCATCCTCGGACTCAAAATCCTATATTAATATTAATAAAAGTTGAGAACCAACAAACACAACTAATAATAATAACAAGTAATAATATTAAAAATGACAATTCTAACAACACAACTAATTATACACAATTTAATTATATTCAACAACACCCACAATTTTTTAACCCTATAATAATTCTAATAACAATATTCTAATATTATAATATAATTCTAATAACAATAATAATAACGAATGCGCGTGAAATAAAAAAAAAAAAAACCCTAGGATTTTCGAAAACCCTAGGCCGAAACGCATAGTTAAGAAACTAGGCGTTTCGGCCTAGGGTTTTCGAAAATCCTGGGCGTTTATCTGGGTTTCGATTTTTTAAAAAAATTTTAATAGACGTACCGAGTTCGTATAGTTCGAGTAGCCTCTGGCGAGCAGCGTAGGTTGTGTTTCCGGTCTTTCGTCGTCGTCCATAAAATCCAACGAATTTGATTTGCAAAATTTAAATAATTTGTTTGATTTTGAAAATCACAGTGGTTGGTGGTTGACCGATGATCATTGGTGGCCGGTGACCACTAGAGAGAACGGTTAAAATTTTTGTGTACGGTAAAAGTGTTCAGTTAAGGTAAATTAATTATTTTTATAATATTTATAATAAGGATAAGTACGTAATGTTACATTATTTTTCGAGCGTTAGTTAGAGATTCGAGAGCGACGTTTAGCTTTTTATTTTTCAATTCTAAAACAATGATTTTATAATCTATAAATGGAAGAGATAAATCAATATACCTTATATACTAAATCTGTGTTATTTCTTTCTTTTAAAAGTTTGATACTGGATCTCAATAACTATGTCCACTAACACTTCTATAAATATGAAGTATTTCTTCATTAATTTCATCATAACATATTATACTTCTTACATTATAATCCGTGCTATCAAAAAATAAAGTACGATGAAGACCAATCCATCTATTATTGTTCTTTCAGTTTTCTTGTTCGCCATATTATGCGGTAACTACTGATTAATTTGCTTACAAATTATCATCCGTTTGAGATAAACATGAGCACATATACTTGATTTTGCATGGAGTATGGATTAAATTTTTGTTTTAGTAACACTAACACGTAATTTTGTACTTGTTTAATTCGTTTTTGTTTTTCATTTGTTATGTTTGTTTTTACGTCATCTAATGCATATATTTGACCATTAATACGTGTTTTGAAATCAGGCACAATCACAAGTGTGGAAGCTAAACGTAAAAAAGTGATATCGCCCGATGAAATAATAATCAACGCTCCACTTTGCTTCAAGGTTAAAGATTGCAATACAAGCTGCAGTGATATTGATCCTAATTGCACGGACTCAACTTGTCGCCGATACAACGGTGGATCATATTTATGCTGTTGCAGATCTTCACCCTTAGTTCCTCCACCGCCGCCCGGAAATTAATTAAAGAATATTAATAACACTTAAAAATTCCTTAATCACTGATGATGTGATGATATAGACTTTTGATGTCAAAATTATAATACTAATAAATAAATGATAGCCTTTTTATCTTTGAAATTTTATTTATTTGTTAATTGACTTAGTTCAATGCAAATTTGGTTATATATTATTGGATACTACGTATTATATTCGTATTACATTGATGTGATCACGTGAATTATAGATAACAAAATTTAGTGAACCAATCAATATCTATCTATTGTTCTATACTTATATTAAAAGGTGTTCATAAAATTGTATATGTGTCACATGTATCCTTTTATACATCGGTATAGCGCCACATCATGATCTTAATTAAAAATGCATGCGAAGAGATTTGAACCCCAAACCTCATTAAATGGAAACCATATGTATTACCATCTTGAATAGAATTAATTCAAACTCAATTAATCCAAATTATATATAAATACATACATGTATTAGAATGTAAAATAAATTACTGTTGTCATTGTATTCTAATTTACCCACGTTAAAAAAAATTAATAAGTCTTTAAAGCGTCTAATATAAAAATGAAATTATTCAAAGTATCACTCGAGGCAAAGCCCGGGTCACACACTAGTTTAGAACTAAACAATGCCTCGGATCACTATATAGAAAATATAGTATTGAACTATTGGTAATCATATTTTGGCCTTATATTATAATGCCTCAACTAATTACATGAAATTAATTAGCAAATATCAATTGTTATATGTGATAAGTTTAATTAGTCCATGACTCAAATATCCTCTTAATTAAAAATTCATATTTCATATTGTGAAATATACACAATATATTCACCAAATAATGTAGGTAGTACTATTCACGGTAATTTTGATTCACAGTTTTTTCATATCTTTGAATGAAATATTATTTAAGTATCATAATATAATTCCATATATTTAAATATGATAATAATTTACATTTAATACCTTCAAATTAAGTCTTCAATATATTTTACTTAATTAAGTTAAGTTTAATTTGTAACAATTTAACAAACTTAAAAAATGTTGAATGATGTATAAAATTTATTCAAACTAAAAAAAATCATGTTATTGTACTATTAATAAAATAATTTATTAAATAAAATAATTTATTCAAAAAAATATATTAGTAATTTATTATTAATCCCTCCATTTTCATTTGTTCACACAAAAAGTTCACTAAATCATAACTTTATAGTAACTTCAAATTTAAATGTGAGCAGTTTTCATGCGAAACGAGATGTTCTTGGTCTAAATCTATTATTTACGTGGTATGTATTGTTAAAAAGCTAACAAGCAAGATCCCAATCAATAAAGTAGACTTATTATTCCAAACGAATGTGGTTTAATACATAATTTTTAAATACCTATTTGGTTATAAGAAGAAAGTCAATGTTGATTTATCATTGAATTTTTCTTAATACACTCCTATTATGGTCATATATATATATATATATATATATATATATATATATATTTTTTTTTTCTTTTCTGACAAGAAGAAAAAGGGATTTCGTTAATAAAATATAGCCAAATGATACTTACATATAATTCCTAAGAAATCAAGAATTTCAACACAAGTACACACCTTAAAACTAAATACATCGTAGATTTGATTAACAATCGCCTTAATAAAAAAACTTCATCTGAATCAATGCAATTTGTGAGTTCGTACTGATTCGGCTTGAAATCCACTGATGCGTAGTCGTTTGAGTGAAAATACTCATGTGGTCCTCCGGATTCTTGTAGAGATTATGAAACCCTAGATCTTCAATTTTTACCATACAAACATAAAAAGAAAATAAACTCAAGAGAAAAATCATCATCCAAGGATGAGATTTATTTATTGAAAGCAATTAAAAGGTTTTTGGGGGCTTACCACTGATAAGAACACCAGTGAAAGCCCATACAAAGATTCACATCTGAGACCAAGAGGAAAGAGATGGTAGAGATGGAGAGAAAAAAGGGAGAGGAGAGAAGGAAAACCTTCAAAAAATTGAAAAAAACCTAGTAATGGAGGCTAGAAAAACCCTCCCAAAGGAGAAACCCTAGAGAGAACTAATTTAAAATTCTAATAACGTGTCTTTTATTACATTTAATGTTTTATTTCATTATATATACGATATAAGAGAAGAATAAACATGTTATGGTTATATGTATGTCCACTTTATTTTATTATTTTTAAGAAAATTAAATGTAGTGTTGAATTAAAAAATAGTAAAATTATGCATAGTACGGTACCCTAACCAAGTAAATTTTTGATATTTCATGAATGACTTTTTAATAAGGAAAATGATATACGGGTTATGTACAAGAAGCTAAAAGAGAAAAATATTAATAAAATATATTCATTAATTACACTGATTTGTGCCTGATTTTATCTTACATTCTCAAACTAATACTGTATCAAATAAGGAAATATATTTATTAATGCTTATTTGTAGTTTTAAGGGCTACACATAGCATTTCTCTTTTATTAAATATGAAAAAAAAAAATCAAAAGCTAAAATCATTGAAGTAATAAATTATACACGTTGACCAATTAATTTCTTCTCAAAAAGAAATGAAATAAGACACAAATCAAGCTTTTTGATACATTATGGAAACATATCAGTAGCAAATGTGAAAGAAATCCTTACAATGTTTACTTTTCAAAATATCACTTTTTCTTTCGAAGCACGTATTTTCACTTATTATTTCAGAATTAATAAGTTTAAATAAATTCAGATAATTTTAGGTAAATTCTGGTTAGATAAATTCAGAAAAAATATGTTTTAATAAGGTTAACTAAAGGTAACCAGAAATTTAGACCAGTTTGGGCTTTAACATCATACTACAAGAAAAAAGGTGATTAGCGACAGCCAAAGTCGCTGCAAATCCGTCGCAAAAATGGATTTGCGACGGATACTTTGGTTAGTTGCCAAAGACCTTGTCGCAAATCCATTTTTGCGACTAATTTTTGAACAATCGCAAATTTAGCGACGGATTTGCAACGACTTTGCAACTGCCATTTAGCGACTAACTTTCAAATTTTAGCAACTAATCATTGTCGTTGTAAAATATTTGCGACGGATTAGCAACTACGGAGACCAATGTTTTAAGACTATTTTTGCGACGAATTAGCGACTACAAGACCAAACTTTTGCGACTACAAGACCAAACTTTTGCGACTAAGGAGACAAATTTTATTGCGACGGATTTGCGACTATTGAGACTAATTTTTTCGCGACGGATTAGCAACTACATACGAGACCAAACTTTTGCGACTTAGAAACTAATTTTTTGCGACAGATTAGCGACTATTAAGACTAATTATTTTGCAACTAACTAATCAGTCTCTAAAACAAATCTGCAGTCGCTAAATGTTTACGATTAATTATCAATATTTGGAGAAACCATAATTTAGCGACGACCAATATCAATCACAAATAAAAGGTACCCACACATGCATAAATTCAAATAACCAAAATGTTAATTTTATTCAAATATTCAAAATATCATCAATTTCGTATCAATGTATTAAAAAACAATATTCAAAACCATATGAATAATTGTTTCAAAAATCACATCCCATATAAAGAAATCTACTTCAAATAAGAACTAGTGACGATATACAAATATACCTCCAAAAATTAAAGATCAGTTGTTCACAAAAATTACAACCAAGAAAATAAAAAATCACTTAGTTGCATCACAAGTGCAGGTGACTGTAAACATAGAAGGCTTAGAAGGACAATAATGTTGGACAAGTGATGTCATCTCCTTCAATGTTTTGTGCATAGCTAATTTTTCCTTCTTCCATGTAGCTTTATCGATCTCATAATTTTCGACAATTTCCTTAGCATATTTTAAGCTTTCTGCCGCTATTTTTTGGCTTTCTTCTACCATGTTATGGTTTTCTTCCACCATCTTCTTTAGTTCTTCAACTTGAGGCTTAGTTGGGAAATCATGGAAGGAGTGGAAGCTGATGCAGTAGGGTGAGAAGTAGGATTGCTCTTGTAGTACATTTGTGAAGCACTCCCTAAACCGTTCCTTTCTTTTGCCCACTTACAACCTCCAAGTAGACTTTGTCGGGGTTTATCACAATTCCTTTGTTCTTATATTCCTCAAGTTTTTCCGTATATTCTCCCTGCATTAAGATATTTATTAGTAACTATGGTCTCAATTGTTAAAACATAAAAGATTAAAAAAAGAAAAAAAGCAACACTTAAAATAAAATATAATTAATGTAAGCAATTATTAGTAAAAATAAACCTGCTTCAATTCACATTATGCCATGCCACGTTAATCATTGCCGGCTAATTATTCTCATCCTCCAACTTAATCACACAGACAAACAAACAATCTATAATATCTCAAAACATTAACTACTATATATTTTTGTAATCGTAATAAAATATATAAGTATACTCATACCATGACTTAATGAGTCTTTTCACCCATCAATTCAATTTCATCGTTGCCCACATCAGCAGAATGAGTGCTCTCATAAGACTTCAGCAGCAGTTGGTAAAACTCCATCCTTTTTC